AAAAAAAAAAAAAAAAAAAAAAAAAAAAAAAAAAAAAAAAAAAAAAAAAGAAGAAGAAGAAGATAAGTACAGACAATAAAATGTAAAACATTATCTAAAAGTGGGCATAAGGAGTGGGTTTTAATGTTTAAGATAAGGATCCAAGATATTTGAAGACATATTCGGGACAAGGTAGTACCACCTTTTTTTCTATATAACCTATTCATATTAGTGAAGCATCCACATTTGTGAGACCTTAGTCGGGATGCATAGAAAAGTCAACTTACGAGAATGAAAGAGTATGGTACAACATCCTCTCTCTACATAAAGGTAAATTTTCTCTTTCAGCTAGAATGTAGAGAAATTGAAATAAACACAAAAAAGGGTCAAACACGGTTGCTAACATTGAAGAGAACCATCATAGATGAGAAAGTGGGAGTTTAGAGTTGGCGAACAAACTTTTGCTGCGGGATATGAGGAAGAAATTCATATTTTTAAGTTCCGACTCGAAAACTCATGAATCTATTAGATATTGTTTAAAGTTTAAAAACTTATTAGACACAAACAGTATAAAACTAACATTAAAACTTCTACCCACCAAGTTGAGTAAATGAATTGGGAAAGGAAATGAGTGGAGAAAAGTGAAAGAAAGAGGGCATGTGGAAAAGGTGGGGGAGAAAATGGAAGCATCTTTCACTTTTGTGATCTCAGAAGGAAGAGCTAGAGAGAAACAAAGAAGGGAAGAAGGGTGGTGGGGAGATTTGGTGTCAAAAGAGGGGGTGGTGTGTGTCCTTTGTGTTTGAGCTTTCAAGTGATTGAAACAAGGCATTGTGATGTCCACCTACTACTTACTTATCCACTGACATGATACTCTGTATAAGACCAGACCATTCTTCCACACACACTCACTCTTACCCTAAACTATACAAACATTTCACCCACTCACCCTCACCCTTTTCTTCTCTTTTTCTCTCTCTCATTGACCAAATTTCAGCTTGCTGTTGCTGTTCTTCAACTCAGAATTCACAATGTACTTACTTGCACTCTCTTCAAACTCATGCACTTTCAACTCAAACTTGTTTATTTATTTAGTTTCATGGTATCCATCTTGTTTTGCATTATGAATGGAAGATATATGATACCAATTGATGAACAAAAGCCTTCCTAGTTTGTGAGATTCCACATTGGTCAGAGATGGTACTTTATGAGGCTGTGTAAACATCTCTAATATACGTGTTTTAAAACTTTAAAGGAAAGTCTAGAAGAGATAGTCTAAAGAAGACAACATCTACCAGCGATGGGCTTGGGCTGTTACATTAGTGGTCGAGTTTTATGTGCAAGGCCCATTGTGTCTGAAACGACAAAGGATAGTTTGGCCGGCAGTTTAACAGCTACTGCTCAATTGGTGGTGAGAAGTGCAGCCGTTTGGGATTTGATGTGAATGTATAGCTCCCATTATTTTCATTATTTGTTGTTTGTGCTTGTTCTAGCTTAAGGTTTGCATTTTATCTGGTTTCTAACTCCAATGTTTGTCAAGGGAGAGAATAAATACGACAAGTTTTAGAGAAGAATGAAAATTGAGTCTGTTGGAATCATAATGGTGTATTCACAGGATCTATTTACCTAAGTATTTCATGTTCGTTTTAAGACATGAACCGAGATTAATGTAAGCCTACAAGCTTCCCTTGTGCTACTTTACATTTGGCTCTTATCACCAGTCCAAAAGAACAAGAACAAGACCAAGAACATAATTACCTAAAGGCCTACAATGCGAATTTCAAAGGGATTGCTAATATAAGCAATTAAGGTAAATTAGACACTTCACAGAGTAAAACAATTCTCAGGAAACGACTTGAAAGCTATTTACAGATATATATATAATAATGCCTCTGTCCAGCCACCCATCTGGTATTCTATTTTCTCTCTTCATTCTGGGAACCTAAGCCATCTTGATGGGCTACATCATATGTGGCAAGAAGACCAACAAAGAAATAGAACAGACGCATTACTGCACTGCAAATGAAGAACCTCAAGAATGCCACACTACCCAAAGATCCAATAAGAGGTTCGTCCCTATAGACAGTGATGGGAATGGGGGAACAAGAGGGACGCTCCAAACCGATGGCAATCGGTACTTGGTAAGGAACGTCATATCCAGGGGGCTAAGAAACCAAAAGGAGGCAGGTACAGCATATTCAATCCATCCTTGCCTATCCAAATTTCAAACTACTGCCAACGTTATACAAGAACCAAAAATGATAAACAAGCAAGCAATAAACTTGATATAATCACTTCTTGGTGTCGTGTCCTTAACGTAGTAAGTCTTGTGAGTGCAATGGAACAGCCAGGCATAAAAATGTTTAGTGTGCTGGATGAAAAACACTTGACAAGATGCCCAAACTAGAGAAAAATGCAACAATTGCACTATTTATGGTTGTCAAAAGAGTAGCATAATATAGGAGTTCCCGTTTTCGGATGAACCAAGGCGAAGAGGGGTGGAAATAGATGGACCCTAGCAATCTGAGTGGTGTAGCAATTTGAGATCCTACATCAGTTAGAGAGGGGAACGAACATTCCTTATAAGGGTGTGAAGGCCTCTTTCTAACAGAGGGAGGGAAAGCCCATAAAAGAAAGTTCAAAGAGAACAATATATGTTAGCGGTGAGCTTGGACTTTTACAAATGGTATCAGAGTTGGATACTGAGCAGTGTGCCAATGAGGACGCTGGCCCCCAAGGGGGTGGATTGTGAGATCTCACATCAGTTGGAGAGGAGAACGAAACATTGCTTCTAAGGGATTGGAAACCTGTTTTAAAACCTTGAGGGGAAGCCCAAAGAGAAAGCCCAACGAAGACAATATGCGGCTTGGGCTATTACATGCGAACTGCCCTAAAGATTCCACCAACAATCTTGAAGGAGAGCAACTATGCGAACCAACTATTTAGCCTATATGATCCCAATTTTACCAAATGCAACGGAAAATGCCGCATTCCTATTTATCACGGTATATTTTTGTAGCTTTGATAATGACAATGCCATCAAGCACTAGAACACAGAGATCATAGACATTAATCCAATCAAACCCACCGGTACATCTCTTGAAGGTTGCTTGTTTTCCTCAACAATGGAGGCCAACATATCAAAAACCAGTAAACAACAGCTGCAGCTCCCTTTGACCGAAAGGGAAAAAGGATAACAAAATTGAAGAACTCCCCCAACAAATCCAACCACAATAAAAAGAACAATAAGCAAACTACTAATCACAGAAATTATCCATGTCAAGAAAGATGTTCTCCTCGTTCCACTCATATGAATACCATCAGTAACAAGAAGCACAACAACAGTAACTGGATCAAGAAGATTAAACACATCTGGAAAGAAACTCACCTTAATCCGAAGAAAATCGGAGATATCAGTGTTGACCATACTCGCCAAATAGGAAGATCGAGTGATCGAGCTTAGCTGCACCAAGCATCACCTCCAATAAGATTTTCCCGGCAGCGATGAACGCAACGAAATCCCCCGATTCGATGTGATGAAAAGTAAAATGAAGTTAAATATGTTAGAACTAAAACAAATATTTTAAAGCTAAAATAAAACCGTTAGGATTTTTCGTTTATTTTTAAAATATATTTAATATTTTCTAAATATTTGAAAATTATCACTGGAATTAAAAAAATTAAAATTTTAGACAAAAATTGATCTGAATTAATTAATTCAGCCTGGAGGGTGAAAAAAGAAGGAAGGCTGGATAATACGTGTTGTTCAAGTAGGAAAAAAAGGGCATTCGGCCCAATTTCTCCGTCCAAATCTGCTATAAAAAGGGTTAACAGCCACATTGAATCGCTGAATCTCGTCGCGCCGCCGCCGCTTCTACAACTCATCTCTCCGTCGGTGGTACGATAGCTATTTTTTTCTTTGTTTCTTTTCGTTCGATGGAGTTTTTCATGTTTTTAATTTTCTGAACCCGAAAACTAGTCATTGCGGTGTTAGCGTTGCATTTTGAAATCGGAAATTAGTTTTTGTCTTGAGTATGGATCTGGAGCATTTTAGGGTAACCAATCCTGTGAGGATTGTGGTTAATGATGATAGTAGTCGAAATGAATGAAATGATTTGTTCATGTAAGTGAAAAAGAAAATGTGCAGAATGGGATTTGGTATGGTTGCATTTTCTTGGCCTCTGTTTCGTAGATTGAAGGGAGGACCATGAAGAATGAAATTGGCTGATCTTGTGCAACCCATGACTGCCCAGATTTGTACTGCTGGTGGTCAATATTCGCCTGGACATGATGTTTGCCTTACTCATCTGAGTCTCTTCCCAACACACCAATAAATTTGATAGTTTATGTTTTTGTATTAATGGATTTTTTCTCTAGTTATTGGCACCGTTGTTTTTGTATTGAGTTTGTTTATGTATGCCTCCTTGAGTTTAACCAGGGGATTTGAATTATGATGCACCAAAGAGTCAACAAAAAACTTTTGGATCAGGGCATCATGTTATTAAGATATTAACGGTTGGGTTGTGTCATAAACTAGTTTCAGATATTATTATACGGTAACTTCTGTGTCATATAATTAAAGACGAGTGGAAGGTGATGATTGAAGCAGGTACTTATGATAATCAAGCATATCTTATTGTTCTCCTGGTGCGGCTACGTGTAGTTGTGCCGAGCTTCAAGGATATGTCTGTATGATTTACAAGACTGCTCTCTGATTCATTCTCTGTTCATTATATTTTATGATTAGTGGCCAAGAAAATGTTCTGCCTTTGTCCATACAAGGTCGACTGGTCAATTTACATCTGGACTTAAATCTAACAAGCTGAATTTTGTGTCACCTGTTATCTTAGTTATGAGGCTAAACTGGATGCAGCTTTTTTTTTTTTTTGAGGCCACAAGGAAAGGGAAAATAGGAATATGGATGTTTAGGATTTTTGGGAGAAATTTCAATTTGTCATTTAGTTTTGGGTATTTTCCATTGTACTTTGTCTTGATATTGTTTTATTTTCTTACAACTACGCAGGTCAAGTTCAAGCACACACAATGGGGAGAAGACCTGCTAGATGTTACCGACAGATTAAAAACAAACCGTACCCTAAGTCACGATTTTGCCGTGGTGTACCTGATCCTAAGATCAGGATCTATGACGTGGGAATGAAAAGGAAAGGAGTAGATGAATTTCCATTCTGTGTCCACCTTGTGAGTTGGGAGAAAGAAAACGTGTCAAGTGAAGCTTTAGAAGCAGCTAGGATTGCCTGCAATAAGTACATGACCAAGTTTGCTGGGAAGGATGCATTCCATTTGAGGGTCAGGGTGCACCCCTTCCATGTTCTGCGGATTAACAAGATGCTTTCATGTGCTGGGGCTGATAGGCTCCAAACTGGCATGAGAGGTGCCTTTGGGAAACCACAGGGAACCTGTGCGAGAGTGGCCATTGGGCAGGTTCTCCTTTCAGTTCGCTGCAAGGACAACAACGGTCAGAACGCACAGGAGGCCCTCCGCCGTGCTAAGTTCAAGTTCCCTGGTCGTCAGAAGATCATTGTTAGCAGGAAGTGGGGATTCACTAAATTCAGCCGAGCTGATTACCTGAAATTCAAGGCAGAGAACAAGATTCTTCCAGATGGTGTGAATGCCAAGCTTCTTGGATGCCATGGGCCTCTAGCCAACCGTCAGCCTGGAAGAGCTTTTCTGTCTCAAGCTGCTTAGACTGAGTTAGTTGCTTAATTTATTTGGGATCATTTTTGACATTATTAGCATTGGTTATCTGAATTTTTGTGAAACAAACTGAGCTTCCTTTTCTATTCTGTTTTATCTTCTATCCTAATAGTTGTCTTCTTTTGGAACATCTCCATTGATTAGACAATGATCACAGTTCTCGATTGTTTCTCATCATTTTCATTGTCATGATACAACTCTTTGTTACTGGAATGAAGAGGTGGATAGTGACGAGACTCTTAACACATCATGTACAAGACAACCACCATGGAATAATCCTTCCCTTCTTTTCTATAAAGAAAGAGAACTTTTAAAGTGGATTCCCTCTTCACCAAAAGCTTATAACTATCCTCTTTATTTCTTGAAGAACACAAATATTATAAGAATATCCTTATATACATTCCCTTCATATTCTTGGCTTTGGTGGCTTCAAACATCAAACCAAGAACCAAACTTGGAAGAGTCCCAATGTTTGATATCAAACCCTCCATCATAATTCTCATAATTTGCGCTTCTTTACTAGCCGCCGTTGTGATTTTATGTTGTTTATGTATAATCAGAGGCCGTAAAAGGAAAGACTCAACACGGCCTACTCCAAGTGGATCTATTAGTTCAAGGCGGCCGCCGCCGCCGCCGCCATGGCCCCGACAATCCTACTATGATGTTGAGTCCGGACAGGGCATTCGAGCATACAGACAGGACACTCTAAGAAGCGAACAAAGCGTTCCATCAGACAGACATGGCGCTCAAAGAAGCGAACAATACAGTTTTCGAACAGACAGATCACGAAGTAATCAAAGCAGCGAACCAAGCGTTGGAAGAGACAAACGAAGTGGATTCAAGGACGGCGGCATGGCCATCTTTGCTGGGGCTGGTGCTGCTATGGCTGCTGCAGCTGCGGCCCTTGGTTTAAGTAGTGGAGGAGGACAAGAATATGGTGGCAATGGTGATGGTTATTGGGGAGATAGTAGTCGTACCGACGGCTATGGCGATAGTTGCGGCAATGGCAATCGGGACGGTGGAAGTGGCGGTGGTGGCGTTTGTGGCGCTGGCTGTGGAAGTGTCGGTGGTAGCGCTTGTGGCAGTACCGGTGGCAATAACTACTCTCAACACTAAAGATTAATATAAAAGTATGTTAAATTATAAATTTTATCTCGATGATCTGTGTTAAATTTAGTGTTAAATTTAGTCTCTAGTACTTTTATAAGTTAGAATTCGTCTACTATTCGATAAATTTTATCTAATTATAAATCTTGCTTCCGGTTCCAATTGTATTTTTCTTATACTATATTGTTTTATAATCTTAATTACATGTTAATATACTATGGTTAAAGTCGTTAAAAAGTATTACGATAAACACTCTTAACTATAAAGTTTCTATAGAATAGATTCTCATAAAAGATAGGTCGTGATAGGCCGCATCGTCATGCAGATAGCTCTTCATTTTGTTTGGGTAAGCATTACCTCGATGCCTCGACGAAAGTCGTGCTCAATCACTACACGTCCTTTTCAACTTTGAATCATTATAATATACCAACAAGCTTTCATTTGGCTTTAGGGAAGGTTCCTCTAGAATCTGGACCTCAAGATGAAAGTGAGCAAAGTGTATAAATTTTATTAGAATTTAGTGTACATAAGAAACAGATATTCCTTGTCAGACAATTTGGAAGAAATCTATAGCTGAATATAATACTATGAGCAATTATTTGCAGCTCAACATGTTCAACCAATATACAACCCAACCAACCCTGTAACATACCACCTCTGTCTTTGGCAAATTCCAACTATATTTTCCTTTTAACTAAACTAATCGATCCGTTCTAGATTAAACGTCACCATATCCTCGAGCGCGTACCGAAACACTCCTTCTGGAAGGCATTGTAGGTTTTGGATAGCAAGATCTGCCTTCTGTTTAGCTAATTCTTGTGCTCTTTCAATGCCACCCCTGCTCTTGACTAATTCAATCGCTTCTTCTAGCGACCCCGGCTCACTGAATTCGGTTTCGATAATTTCTTTCAGTCTAGGCTCTCTCTCAAGAGCAAATATAACTGGAGCTGTAAGGTTTCCTTTAGCCAGATCACTTCCTGCTGGCTTTCCGAGCTGCTTTGTCGATTGTGTAAAATCCAATATGTCGTCGACAATTTGGAACGAAAGACCGAGATTCCTTCCATACTCGTACATCTTCTCAGTAGTATCACGATCAACCCCGCTAAAGATCGCAGCACCTTTCGTGCTAGCAGCAATCAAGGAGGCTGTTTTATAATAGCTTTTGGTCAGATACTCTTCAAGTTCAACTTCACAATCAAACAGGCTTGATGCCTGCTTTATTTCACCACTTGCAAAATCTTTTATAACCTGCAATAGAACTAATTGAATCTTATATAAGCTAGCTAGAGGTTGCATATCAAGATGACTGTGGATTGCATGGGAACCAAATTTACCTGACTGATAAGCTTAATGACTTCGAGATTTTCGAGGTTAGCAAGACACCATGATGACTGTGCAAACATGAAATCTCCAGCTAGCACTGCCACTCTGGTACCGTATAATTGGTGCAAGGTTTCCTTCCCTGAAACAAACAGCTTTAACCATCAGGTGAATAAATCTGTTGCGGAGCTAATGGAAGTTGTAGGAGGAAAGGGGGAAGCGGTAAATAAATGACACGTTGCAAGTGTGTCTAAGCCAACTTGCGCACAACCTAACTATTTTCGAGAGACAAGACCCTACTACATTTGGTTGTCAAGATAACTCGTCGGATATGAAATCCTAAGTAGGTGGACAAGCTTGAACTCGTTTGCTAGCCTTTTATTATATTTACATGGCCCTTCTTGTTCAATAGGGCAACCGATGGTGGTTATCAAAATAAAATTATATTCTGAAAAGGTATTGAAGCCAGGCGATTATGTATGTACTTGGTAATAAAATTGAACTATTTGTTTGCGAGCAACTAACAAGTTAAAGTAGTGACTTTGCCTCCAAACGAGGAAAAAGTACTATCAAGTTAAAGTAGTGACATGAGGCAGTGTGCCAGTAAGGACGTTGGGCCACGAAGGGGGTTGATTGGGGGGTCCACATCAATTAGAGAAGGGAATGAGTGCTAGCAAGGATGCTCGGCCCTGAAGGAAGGTGGATTGTGAGATCCCACATCGGTTGGGAAGGAGAACGAAACATTCTTTATAAGGGTGTAGAAACCTCACCCTAGCAGACGCATTTTAAAAACCTCGAGGGAAAGCCCAAAGAGGACAATATTTGCTAGCGGTGGCTTGAGCGTTACAGTTCAAATCCTTTGTAACCTACCAAGAGCATCATTAAAGAGTTTGATACGTGGACATAGTTTTATCTCTACAGCTCCATGATGAATCACAACCTCAACAGGGATGAAGAAGAAGAAGATAACAAATGGAGTGAATTCAGACCAAAGAGGAAATGTTATGACCTTCTAAAGCCCTTTCAAAATCACGCTCAAAAATGTCATAAACAAATATACGTATTCATTTATCTATGCAGAAAGCGCCAATGAGAAATCCCGAACTTTATGTACGTAAAATGGGCATACCTCTTCTCATATCGCTGTCGTCTAATACATCGTCGTGTATCAAGCTTGCAGTGTGGATCATTTCAATGATCTCTGCCAAACGTCGATGCTCCACAGTGAGTTCCCTGGAGGCAATGCAAGCAAAACAATAATTGAATTTTCTTCAATGCCATACTAAGCTCAGATTTTCAGGAATGTGCATGTCTGGTAGGAATCACTCACTCTAACCCAACTAATCCGGCCGTTGCTCTTGACACCAGGAATACTAGAGCTGGTCTCATCCTCTTCCCTCCAGCACCAAATATCCGCTGAGCAGCAGAGACCAAAGCTGGGTTCTCCTCACCAACCATCTGCAGGCATTTCAGTTAAGACTACAAATTTGATCAAGGAAACAAATAAGACTACAAATTTGAAGAGATAACAATAACTCGAATATATGCAATTTGATAAGTATGTGACGTTGAACTCGAAGAAATATATAGTCGTCCTGTGCTACATCTAAGCTAATATTAGATTCAGACTTCACAAAAAGGAATGGCACAGGTTCCCAGAAAATAAGTCACCCACGGGATAGGAACTTTCTGAACATAAAGTAATATAGAAGGGCAAAACTACTCGATTTCAGTGGTGAATATTGGTTGATGATCCCGCGCTTGGGCTTTAAACCTTCAAACTTGACTTCAGGAAGAGCTTTTGTAAGAAGATCAACAACTAGATGCCCAGTAATGCACGTGGTGACGTGCTTGAGACCACATAGGGATTTCACAAGCTTGCAGATTTTGTTCAAAATTTTTCAACGTCAGTTGGAAAGGGGAACGAAATAAAGCATTTCTTATAAGGGTGTGAAAACCTCTCTCTAGTTGACATGTTTTAAAACCATGAGGCTGACGGCGATTCGTAATGAGCTAAAGGGGACAATATCTACTAGAGTGGGCTTGGGTACAGGGACATCCATATTCAGCTCTTCTTCTAGATATCCATTGAGAAATATGTTTAGGAAATCAATTGAAGAGCTGATGAAATATGGTTGGAGGTATTCTAAGTGATGTTAAAATCTGTAGTTGTCAAATCCAGATGGTAAGGTATATTCCAAGGCAATGAAATGAATGATAGAATACGAAGTTCACTGCCACTTACAGACAGAAGATTTTGGTTAAGCTTCTGGAGATCATCGGCTACAACTTCAAACAAATTTGTCGACGAGATTGGGGTTCTGGGCTCCTTCCTCAGTTCCAAGAATGGTTGAGAACCACCAGTAATGCCTGTTTCAGCAAAAACAGAAACAAACAAAGGCTATTACCACAAGCTTTTGCAGCCTACCAAGGAGAAAATGGAGGTGCCTAAACCCAAAAGTTCACTTACTATTCAATACAGTTTCCGGTTGGGTAGTTGAAAACACTCTGCACTGCCCAATGTTTCTTCGGGAACAAATCAAAGTTCGAGTTTGGTGTCGCGTGTTTCTACCCTTAGAACACGGTTTAACATAACTCCTCACCGCACATCGATCCAATGGAGTATTGGAAGAACAGCCACAAGCAACATGATCCAAAACATACCTTCCAAAATCAAGGCTCTGGCATATGACAGACATCATTCCTAGTCAGACCGCGAAATCCAAACTCACAATCAAATATGAAGCAAAAATCAACAAACCCAGCTCAAAAAATCTTCTCAACTTCTCCTAGACAAATCGTCAAACACCTAATGTGCACAACACAACATATGGGTATGGAAGTAGAACTTGGGAGGAGTGAACCCAATGACCCCAATGAGGTTCACACAAGTCATTAACATGGAAATTAACCGATTTAGCAGAGAGAAAAAGATTACAAGTGGGAGCTAAATTGAGTGGATAGAAGAAGCCCACATAGCAGCTCAATTATTTTCTTATCAGTAGTTCAAGAAATGAGGTAGATAGCGCTCGTCCGAGGAGTTTTTTTTTTTTTCTTTTTTTTTGGTTTGCTTTGAGAAGGGCCCGTACGATGCCTAAGCGCCTTGTACGTAGGCCACAAATCCACAGCCTCCCTCGCGGTTTAGTGGTGGAGCTGAGCCCAGCTACCGCCGCCTCTGATTATCATTTGTATATCCAAATTCCCCAATTTCGGTGATTTTGTTGAATTCCTCGCCTTTTTTTGTGACACACTCCATACTTCAATCTACACGTACATATCGATAAACCCGCAGACATCATTACCGCTAAATTTCTTTGTATAGAGTGAGAAAATAATTATGACACTATTTTGATAAAACTCCTATTTTAACAAATTATTTTTTTTATAATTTCATAAATTATTGGCTTAAATAATTCATTTAAAATTTCATAAAAAATGTGTGGGAAAGAAACGCAAATGCTTTGACACATTATTTGCTTCCTTCCATTATTAAAAATAAAAAAATATAAAATCACACCTAATTTATTCAAATAATACTCTAATTATTTGCTAATTTATGCAATAAAATTTTTAATAATAGAAACCATTCGTCATACTTTATAATTCTTATCACTTATTTGTAATTATTAGATTTTAAAAAAAATTATATCCATTATTTCGTCAATTTTTTACATAGATTTATTTAAACAAATTTCGAAAAAAAAAATAAGTTTTTAAAAATTATTATTATTACTTTCATTTTTTTTCAAAACTTAGCTGGATTCTTTTAAATCATATTTAAAAAGAAACAACAAAATAAGAACTCACCCTTAGCATTGGATCAACCGGCTCAAACTCGGCCTAGGCCCAAACCTTCTCGTAAAAAACTCGGCCCAAACCTTCTCGTAAAAAACTCGGCCCAAACCTTACTAGCCCAACTCGGCCTAGGCCCAAACCTTCTCGTAAAGCACTATTTGATCATGGGTTGGCCGGCCCAACCTTCTATAATCACTATGGCTCAAAGTTCGGCCCATTGAATACTAATTAATAATACTCTAAAACTAGATATATATATAGTTTTAAATACTACAGATCAAATATATTTTCTAAAAATTTTATTAAAAAGTTTACCTTTTAATATCTAAAATATAGTATATAAAAAATTAAAATTATATATAGTATTTAAGTTGTCTCAACGAAAAATTCGCTGATTCATGGGTTGACCGAACCGACCATAAATTTAATTTGAAGGTATTTCACTGTTTTATTGATTTAAAATATAGTTGGTCCATATGGCAATGTACAAATCTTCATTCAAATGTATTTACACTAATTGATTGTTTATAATTACATGGCATGATAAGAAGCAGCAAATGTAGTTAACAAAAACACCCTTCAAAGATCAGGTAACCCTACACCACTGCTCATGCCTATCTCAGTTACTCCAGCTAAGAGCAGCCAGCCATGGAAAATGTGCCACTCCAACTTGAGTTTTACCACCTACAGCTTCTTACGTTCAATTAAAGATGAATCATTCTAGGGATCTACCACTGTTCGTGCCATCGGTTAGTTTGAGTGAACGACTGTGCGAACCTCTTGAATTTGGGATGGTTTAAGATTTGGGATTGAACTACAAAGAATACGCCGTCTTGTTCACAAATCCAAACTTCTAATTTGTGATGTTAGTCTCGAATAAACATTTGTTATGTTTCTGTTCTCGTATGGGAGAACGGGCCCGGAAACTCGTCCTAGATTTGCGAAAGCAACTATATCAGTTATATCAGTATCATGGTATTGTTGAGCTTGAAAGATCTAACATGGTAAATTTGGTTTGAAGAAAGATGACAGATTCTATCCTATCAGAACTTGTCCACTAAAGAGAAATATGTTCATACCAGTAGGCACTTTGGGAGGAGGATGAGCCTTTGATGGATTCCCAAACTTTCTATCAGATAATCCCATGCTGTTATTAGAGACTTTCGGATTTCGCCGATCCGGTTCACGATCAGGTGAATCCAAATTTGTGCAAACCGTGGACCTAAGAAGACGATTCGCAAACTGAGCTTGTAAGAACACAAAACTTATACTACACCCACCAAACTATATGTTACAGTAATAATATTGACTCCTAGGCCATGGCATTATCAAACAATCACGAAAACAACTTAACCGGTGCACTCTTACCGTGGGAGGGAGAAGTGTTTCCGTTCGAGAGGCAAAACCGGTGCGCTTTTAGCACCATTCTCCTTGAGGTAGGTGAATTGGCTTCTAAAATGACCTGTAACGCTGACAATGATAGGAGTACTACAAAATCAGCAAAGGAATAGCTACAATATCACTTGAATGTTGTAAGGTTGAAGAGGAAAATGAATTTGAACCTAGGATAGAGGAGCTTTGTAGTCTCAGTTCTATTCAAATAATCTTCACGAATTTGAGGATGATATTCTAATATTTCTCTGTATAATAGTTCCCTTATGTCATCCTTTGTTAATTTCCGTCTCTCAAACTCAAATTCCACTCTTGATATTGGCTGACAAGAAGGCTCTCTATCAACTTTAGCTAGGCCCTTAAAGTAAGGATCAGCCAGAGCCTGTCAACATATAAATCTCACAAAACTTAATGATCCCCAGATACACATCGGTGAAATAACGATCAATAGAGAACTCGTACCTCCACAGCGGATGGTCGATCCTTCGGATCAAATGCTAATAGTCTTTGTAATAAGCGGATGGCTGCAGGATCCGCATTGGGAAATCTTTGTGAAAACGGCACTGGAGATTTCTTTCTCATTTCGGTCAAATATTTCCTGGCCTTTTCGTTCCGAACCTAAACAGTACCGATAAAATATGACTATTACAATCAAAGCGAAAAGAAGAAAAAGGACAGATCAATAGCAAGCAACACATACTCCTGCAATGATTTCCAATGAGGGAGTCCCAAGAAGATCAGTAATTAACTCCAGTTGATGGGCAACACTTTTACCAGGAAACAGTGGCTTCCCTATCAAAACCTCAGCAAATATGCAGCCAATGCTCCAAATATCTATCGCGGGAGTATACTATAAACAGTATAATGATATCAAACATTAGAAAACAAAAAGGGGAAACTAAGTTTAAGCAAAAACTTAAGAAAAAAACAGATATAACCTGACCTGAATGACAGACATTTCAACTTCCAGGACAGTTCAATAGTCCCCCCTGAACAAGAATTATTATAATCTACGCATTATTGTTTCCTATAAACCACTATTATACATTACATACATTTTATACCAAAAAGGAAAGCATTTCCAACTGAACCATGGCCAGTAAATCACTACAAGATGTTGTTCTGATCTTTCCTTGTATGGTGGTGGAGGGAGGAGCAGGGGGGACATTGTTGCTTCAACATTGAGACAATCAATAACATATGTAACATAAGTCATGGTAACGGTGCACTATCAGATTCGGTACAAAATGAAAACGTGCGTAATCATCAAAACTAAATGTCCAGTGATTAGTTTACTCCCAGTGATTGCGAAAATTCGTAGAAGGAATCAATGTGAACTAGTTTACTGCCTACCTTTGAACAGAACGATCCACACAGCTCTGGAGCTCTATACCATCTAGTAGCAACATAGTCCTGCAAACAGCATCACTTAGAAACACTGAAAAACAAATCAATAATCTGCTAGTGAAATGAAGAACATACTGTCCAAAATATTGTAGTTGGGACATCGCTGAAAGCAGCTCTAGCAAGTCCAAAATCACAAACTTTAAGCTTGCAATTAGCATTTGCCAGTATATTCTTCGGCTTCAGATCTCTATGATAGACATTTGCTGCAAACAGCATTCTCAAATTTAAAAACCTTCGTTTCATACTCAAAATATAAGAATGAAAAAGAAAATTATCTACCTGTATGCATGAATTTCAATGCACGTAGCATTTGATAGAGGAAGAACTGATGATGTTCACGGGTCAAATCATCATTTGCTTTAATAACTTGATGAAGATCAGATTCCATAAGCTCAAACACCACATAAATGTCCTTAAATTCCTTTTTAGAAGGTGGCAACATGATGTGCTTGATATCAACAATATCAGGATGCCGCAACAATCTAAGCAACTTAACTTCACGAAGGATTCGAACAGCATCAGATACATGATCAAATATGTCATGAATTCTCTTTATTGCAACTTTCTCTTTGGTTTGTACGTCTATAGCAGAACAAACAACTCCGTAACTTCCCCTGCCTATAACTTCAAGAATCTTATATCTATTAGCATCCCCATATTCAGTAAAAAAGTTGATCTTCTTGGCCTCCTAAAGATCAAATGAATTATTTAACATCATCAGAAATAGAACACAAAAGGGACTATTATAATGCAAACATTTAACTATTAACCAACGCCAATTAGAGAAACAGTAAGGAATGTACAAAATGCATTCCAGTATAAGAAATTTTACATGGTGATCATGAATGTCAGCTGTGAAAAACATGGTAGTTATGTAAAAAACGAGATCAAACAAAGACTAATGCCCAGAAAGTCCTACATCCAAGAGAAAATTACAATAAGAATCCCATCTCAGACATCACAAACCAAATTTTCTTCATCAAAGATCCTTCTAATCCTCTCTACCCATGGTTAACATCTACAAAAGCGCAAATCCAAAAACACTTCCCTTGTCCTCTTAATCCCTGACCCCTACAAGAAGATATCCCTCTTTTTTGTAATAACAACAGCATTTTTGAGAATATAAAGCCCTGCGGAGGCAACAGTCCTACAGCAAGAAACGGACTAAGGGAGGATCAATAATTCCATCCAAACGCAGCATATAAAGTTACAGAGAAGAAGATTGAACTGATGGTGACGCATCAAACACAAGCCCATTACAAGAAATTCAATCCAAAAACAGATAAGCTCATTCAACATAAGGCAAACACAAGCCCATTACAAGAAATTCAATCCAAAAACAGATAAGCTCATTCAACATAAGGCAAACACACGATTGAAGAAGGTTCTAGTTCATTCAGTATCTAGAAATCTTCACGAACACCAAAACAGTACACAAAACAAATGAACATTAAGGTACCTTCTTTGGATGATCTTGCGTCATCTTCTTCTTCGTCCTCCTATTAGACCTCTTAAATCTTCAGAACAAACTCACCCACATTCGAAGATCGGTCTCAAAAACCCCAGGAGCCAAAAAACAAAAACCCCAGATCGAGAAGAGAAAAACCCACAAAACCCTCAAATTCCCACCAAACAAAACAAGCAGCAGAAACCCAGAAGAAGCGAAAGTGGAATGAAACAAAGAAAAACCAGCGGAATGAGCGGCAAAATATCGACGCAGATCGTGAGAGATGGATTGATTTTCAGAAATGAAATTGAAACGCGTGGAGAATATATATAGGCAGAGAGGGAGAGAGAGAGAGAGAGAGAGAGTTTGGTAGAAACATTGGGGGAATTTAAATGGAGTGTGCATGGTTTCTTCCTTATCCACACTCCCAAATTCCTTCCTTTGTTTCCACTCTGTATTCTTTCAAATTTGGATGCGGTGACGATGACTCGCCGTACGGCCGTGATTTCCCTGCTCCAACTCTTTTTTTGTTTATGAGCCCAAATTATGTTATTCCCAAATGTGGATGGATTTACTCTTATCTGGTCATTAAAAAAATAAAAAAAATAATAATAATAAAATTGTTATGGTATAAATTATTTATTTTTAATTTTTAATTCACATATTAACAATATTAAATAATGGTTTAAAACACTAAAAAAATTAATTAAAAACTCCACCTTATGGAGAAACTTGAAGAAAATAAATAAATAAAAGTTTTCCTTAAAAATTGAACATTCTTATTTCAACCACAATCAGACTTTTTCTAATTGAAAGTAATTAATATATATTATATTTTTTATGGTTAAAAGATTTCTTTCACACAAAAAAAAAACAATATATTTATAATTTTTAAAAACAATAGTCTTTCAACATACTGTTTCAGATAAAGGGGAAAAATAAAAAAAATAACGAATGACGTTTTGGAATGTGACAGAATTTATAATGAAATACAGACAAATATATTTAATGTGACAGAATTTATAATAGAATACAGACATATATTTTTAATTTGATGGGTGAATATGAAGTTTTTTCATATAAGAACATATGTTAAAATAAATAAGATCTGGATGGTTCGATTTTCCAGGATTTATTATATTTTATTAAAGATTTATTTTCAAAAAATAAAAAACTAATATATGTTTTCTGGAGTAGTACCCTAGAAATATTGATTAATAAAATCAATAAAAATAATTATTTTTAAAACATAAAGTAGATTTTAAAAAATTAATAATTCACGACATGCAATAATGTTATGGACATAAATTAAAGGCCATGTTTTTCATGTGGCTCTCAAGCTCCCAATATTTTATTTTTAAATAATTATATGTAATTGGCCCACATTTCACTACCACTCAAACAAATTTCTCATTTTTGTTATTTGGACAAACCTACTCAAATTTAATTTATTAAAAAATAATAATAATAAATTATACTTTCCATTATTCAACTTTAGACCCTGTAATTTCGTAGATATCTCGTTTCTTTATTATCATTATTTTATTAAAAAAATATTTTTTTTTAGGGTTCATATATCTTAATAACTCGAACAACTTAATCCACGAGACATGGATGATTTTGTCAAAACGAGATACATTTAATGTGTTATTAATGAATGGATAGTCGAGTTGTTGGAAGAGAGATGAGACATTACATCGTGTAAGGTAGGGCATGATAGGATGCCTTAGCTGAAGGGGAAGAAGGTGAGGGCTTAAAGAATTAAGGCCACATGTTACTCACAGTTGTTGGTGCTCTTTAAAGTTGATGTGCCGCAAAATGTACAGTGCCCACACTTTCATTACTACATTTTCTTAGTCTTGTCTAATCATCTCACGTTGTTCGTTTGGAGGCGATAGCTTTATACCATTAACTTAAAATGAGCATAGCATCTCGATAATTTGATATGCATTATTTTATGTCGAGATTAGAGATTCGCATTCTCATATTTCTATGTTGTGTTAAAAAAAAGTTATACATGCGAGAGAAATTATGAAAATATTTTAAATCAATGCTCGAGAATTATTAATTAAGATCGTGCCGATTTTAAATTTGTATCTAATGGTGTTATTAGAAAGAGTCCCGTTGTGATAGCTCCATGAACATATTCTTCAAGCCTCTCGAACAATCTCTCTCTCTCTCTCGACTTCTGTCGTCTCGTCTCGTCTCGTCTCTCTCTAGTCCCTTGAATGGAGGAGATTCAGCACTGATTCCCTGTCAGGCATGCTGGGAATGGCTCCCTTCACTTGAACACAAAGTGAGGCTGCAGCAGCTGTTCAAAGCAATAAGAAATAGCCATCAGTTCTAAACCAGTTAACACCACGCCATGGTCTAGTTTTATTGGATCAAGAGAATTGTAATGTAGTTTACATAAAGGATTTACCCGCAAATTTCAGGCTTTCCTTCTTCGACTTTCCTTCCACCAGCGCCACGGCAAATGATGCAGTAAAGGTGTCGCCAGCGCCGGTGGTATCAATTACTTTAGCAGCAGATATAATGGGCTGTCTGATTGGTTCTTCCCCTTGTGTAAACAAAGCAGACCCTTTGGCCCCAAGTTTCACGAGAACTTGCTTGATACCCTGAATTCAAGTTTAGCTAAGTTAACAGCTCATGATCTCTGATAATGGTGAAGCAGCAGATCAAATCTATGAACATGACATCAAGAAAAACTTTATTCTATGTATGGATAACTCACCATTTTATAGCACTTCTCTACAGCTTGTCCGATCTGTTCAAAACTTTCGGTTGGGCATCCCGTTAAACGACTCAGCTCGCTTTCATTTGGACTGAAAATATCGACATGGTCAAGCAGGTCCTGTGGGATAGGAGCGTCAACTCCTCCAGCATCTAAAATTACTGGGACCCCAGCATTCCTGGCAGCCTGCAGTCATTATGGCTCGTCGGATAATACGAAACGTCATTTTAAGAAAATTGTTCATAATCTTAGACATGCACAAAAAAGAATGAATATCTAATGGGGGGAGAAGGAACAAGGAGGTCAAAATGATGCAGAGCCCAGACCAAAAGTTCTATGAATTAACCTTCCCAATTCGTCAAAATGGAATTGAATGGGGTTAAATCAGCCCAAATCCACCGTTAATAGATACTGTCCTCTTTTGGTTTTCCTTTTCGGGTTTCCCCTCAAGATTTTTAAAACGTGTTTGCTAGGGAGAGGTTTTCATACTCTTATAAATAATGTTTCGTTCCCCTCTCCAACCAATGTGGGATCTCACAATCCATCCCCCTTGGGGCCCAGCGTTCTTGCTGGCACACCATCCAGTGTCCACTTCCCTTTGGGGCTCAGCATCCTCGCTGGCACACCACCTAGTGTCCACTTCCCTTTGGGGCTTAGCGTCTTCATTGGCACACCACCCAGTGTTTGACTCTAATATCATTTATAACAGCTCAAACTCACCACTAGCAGATATTATCCTCTTTGGGCTTTTCCTTTCAAGCTTCCCTTCAAGGTTTTTAAAACGCGTATGCTAGGGAGAGGTTTCCGCACTCTTACAAAAAATGATTCGTTCCCCTCTCCAACCGATGTGGGATCTCACAACATAATTAAAAACTTAAAGCCCTTCCGAATTGCTCTGCCTAACAAGAAGCTAGGAAACAAAGGAAATAAAAGAATCTAACAACGTCCTAAAATTCATTGACCAGAGAGCAGCTACCTCATAATGAAATCTAGAAATTGCTATTTCCAGTGCAATAACATAAACAAGCTAACAGGAGTACAAGAAGAACAGTACGTGCATTCAGATCAAACAAAACTTTCAAATAAGAATCATGACTGAATGCAAGCAAGAACAAAATATCCAACAGAATGTCTTAAACCAAGAACAAATTTATTAAGACTGCTGCCAACATATACATATATGTGTTTGTAGGCCTGATAATGCAACAGATCAACCACTAACACATGATTACCAAAACATCACAAAAATAGATATCAGGAGTTCAAGAAAAACCCCAAGTAAACCACACATTTCCCCCTTTATTGGTTCGTACAATTAATGTTTGATATGGAAATTTGAACCTCCGACTTCTAGAAAAAGGAGTACATGTCAATTACCACTAAACTACGCTAACTTTGACATTTGTTTCTAGAACGTTAAGAACTTACTCATTGACTAAAACAACAACGACGAACAAATTCGGGTAAGGGGAAGGGATTCAGTTACTGTCAATAGGAACAAATATTTTTCAATGGATATGCCCTTCTCATTTTTTCATGAATGTGACAGAATTGGCTCACATCTTAGAACTATCAGTTTAGTTCTAAATAAACAAAGTAGTTGATTAGTTGAGTGTGAGAATGCTGAATGACAAGAAAAATTATGCACAGATCATGAACAATTTAATCAGATCCCTGACCTTTGCAACTTGGATGTTGACTGAATCAGGAATCTCCCTCTGGAGAAGAACAATTCCAGCCGTTCTTATAATCTCCAAATCACTATCAGACAACGCCACAGGCCAACAATTCATATTAGCACCACCAACAATGATGATAGAATTCTGCCCACCAGATTGAAGCATCACCACCGCGTGTCCCGTTGGCGCCGCGGCAACAGTAGTCAAATGATCAAGTCGGACGCCGCCTTCCTCAAGCGCCGCCGTGATCAACTTCCCATGAGCATCCTCACCGACCTGACCCAAAAAGTAAGTCGGGTACTCGAGCTTGCCACCACAGCAGGCCTGATTGGCCCCCTTGCCACCCGCCAGAGTCTGCCCATTTCTGGCAGATATCGTCTCGCCCTCCTCCGGCAACCGGTCGATCTCCACATAGATATCGGCATTGGCCGAGCCGACCACAACCAACGGCGGCGGCCCGGAGGGGGTTTTCGAAGAATCGAGGGAGCATCGGAGAATTGGGTATCTAGAATTTGATGGGTTTTGTAGATTTGTGAATTGGAGATGTGGGGTTGGGATTTTGATGGACTTTGTTGACGCTCTGATGAAAATCTCCGGCAATATTGGCCAATAATCCAAGGATGGACGAGAAACAGCCATGATTTCGTTGAAGAAGAAAAGGGGGAGTTGAAATTGGGGATGTTACAATATAGAAAAGTTCATCTATTTTATCATATGTTACTCAAATCCTTAATGTACTCGAAATCAAAGCCTGTTGTCATCTTCCAAGGATATCTCTTTTAAGATTTTTAGTCTGGAATCAATGCGTAAATATGTATATTTAACCTAATTGAACCAGAAATCTAGTTTAATGATCTTAAACATTATAATTAGAGATGTTTATGAAGCTGGATGGGATGGATAAACCTTCCTCCCTCCGCGTCTCTCCTATTTCCTTCTTTGATATTATTTAAATTCATAGTAAAATTTAGTCGATATCATTAATATTAATCGCATCATATCTCTTCCTCGAGAAATTTAAAAATATCTAATCTATATAGGTATTGAATTTATGGGACGTGGAAATTTTTGTTAAGGTATTACAGAAAATAAATTATGGTATTGTTCTCTACATATGGAGCAATTTAGTAAGAAAGTTATTGCAATAAATAAAAATTTATAATATCATTAAAACTAAATATGTCACATCTTTTAATAAAAATAATTAGAGAATTTTTAGAGATTAAGTGTCGATGTCAGAGATGGTGATGATTTATAAGACGTAGATCAATTAATAACCGACGATTTTCTCTCGTGATCCATGGGAGACCCGAGTTCACGAAGGTTACTATGAGGTCGAGCGCAGGGGATTGCAGTATTAATTCACCGGTGGGGAACGCGGATGGAGCTGCGCAGAAGTAGTGCAGTAAAAAATGAATGAGAAGGGTAAATGCGTCATTTCTCCATTTATTGGCTCCCCTTAACCGTCTCCAGCCTCCATCGAATTTAGACGTAGTTTATAAACGAAGGAAAAAACACCATTCTTTTCCGTCAATTCTTTCCCGTCATTGTTCTCCAAAGTCGTCGTCTCTGGTTTTCTTCACCATTTCCTTGTCCCTAAGATCTCTCTCTCTCTCTCTCTCTGCCCTCCATTCTCTCTCTAGAAGAGGTAGGTACTTCATATCTTCGTCTCTGCATTTTTCATTCTCATTCCCGATTCGAAGTCTGTTACTTGAACCGTCCTCATGATGATGAAACCTTTTTGATTCGTGTTGTTTTCACAATTGGCTTAGGTTGGTGCATAGGGTTCTCCGTCTTTCTTGTTCATTTGGATCCGTGATTGGTTTGGTGATTTTCTAGTTTTTTTGTTTCCGATTTCTTGCCTGCTAAGCATTTTCTTGTTATGATTTGTGGCGGGTCGAATTCAGATCCTGGAAATGCACTTTGGACGTTTTTTAAAAAAAAATTGATTATGAGTTTAGGAGTATGCAGAGATCTAATCTGATGGTTGGTTTTTGATCCGGGACGTTTTTTTCTGTTTGTGGAGGAAATGATCGGAAATTAAAGTTCTATCGAATATGATTTAGTTTTTTTCTTTTTTATCAGTAGGTTTCAGTTTCTTCAGCAATGAAGCTTAATAATAACTAATGCTCCACTTTGGTTTTGATTTTCTAAAAAATTGTTAGTTTTGGAATTTGTTTGCTACTGTATCTGCCACTGAATTTAACGGTCGGCTAATTTGTCAACTTCCCCTTAGACATGGATGAATTCAAATTTGATTAAAATCTTCTTTTGTTTTTGTTTGGTTAGTGATCATATGTTCTGTATTGGTCTTGTGCAGAAGTTGCTTTGACATGGCTACACATTCTCCTAAGAACATCCTCATTACTGGGGCTGCTGGATTTATTGCATCCCATGTTGCTAACAGGCTTGTCAGAAACTATCCTGGCTACAAAATTGTTGTACTTGACAAACTTGATTACTGCTCAAATCTGAAGAATCTTCTTCCTTCTAAGCCATCTCCCAATTTCAAATTTGTTAAGGGGGACATTGGCAGTGCTGATCTTGTCAATTATCTCCTGATTACTGAGTCCATTGATACGATTATGCATTTTGCTGCTCAGACTCATGTTGACAACTCGTTCGGTAATAGTTTCGAGTTCACGAAGAATAATATCTATGGCACACATGTTCTTTTAGAAGCATGCAAGGTCACTGGTCAGATCCAGAGGTTCATCCATGTTAGTACAGATGAAGTATATGGAGAGACAGATGAGGATGCTGTTGTGGGAAACCATGAGGCTTCCCAACTCCTCCCAACAAATCCATACTCTGCAACAAAAGCTGGAGCTGAAATGCTTGTGATGGCCTATGGTAGGTCGTATGGGTTACCTGTGATCACGACACGAGGAAACAATGTCTATGGACCTAATCAGTTTCCTGAGAAGTTAATTCCAAAGTTCATTCTTTTGGCCATGAGAGGTCAGCCTCTTCCAATTCATGGGGATGGTTCTAACGTTAGGAGTTATCTCTACTGTGAGGATGTTGCTGAGGCTTTTGAAGTCATTCTTCACAAAGGAGAGGTTGGGCATGTTTACAACATTGGGACAAAGAAGGAGAGAAGGGTTATAGATGTTGCCGAGGATATATGTAGACTTTTCTCAAGGGACGCAAAGGCAAGCATCAAGTATGTAGACAATAGACCATTTAATGATCAGAGGTATTTCTTGGACGATGAAAAACTCAAGAACTTGGGGTGGTCGGAGCGTACAACGTGGGAAGACGGGCTGAAGAAGACAATTGAATGGTACACCAAGAACCCTGATTGGTGGGGTGATGTCTCTGGGGCTCTGCTGCCACATCCTAGAATGCTAATGATGCCTGGTGGTGTTGAGAGGCACTTTGAAGGTTCTGAAGAGGGAAAACCAGCTTCTTATGCTTCCTGTAATACTAAAATGGTAGTCCCAACTTCCAGGAATCCGGGCTCTCCTTACCAGCCATCCTTGAAATTTTTGCTCTATGGTAGGACAGGGTGGATTGGAGGCCTTCTTGGGCAGCTATGTGATAAACAAGGCATTGCCTATGCTTATGGCAAAGGGCGTTTGGAGGATCGGGCCTCGCTTTTGGCGGATATTCAGAATATTAAACCAACCCATGTTTTCAATGCTGCTGGAGTAACAGGCAGACCCAATGTTGACTGGTGTGAATCTCACAAAACAGAAACAATTCGTGCCAATGTTGCTGGAACCTTAACTTTAGCAGATGTTTGCCGGGAGCACGGACTCTTGATGATCAACTTTGCGACCGGCTGTATATTCGAGTACGATGCCAAACATCCAGAGGGTTCTGGCATTGGATTTAAAGAGGAAGACAAGCCAAATTTCATTGGTTCCTTTTATTCGAAAACCAAGGCCATGGTAGATATAATATTCTTGGGAACTTTCATACTTACCAGGCATTGCAATTGATCTTTTTGACTTGCTGCTAATCTTTCTTTCTAATCACAGGTGGAGGAGCTTCTGAACGAATACGATAACGTCTGCACACTCCGAGTTCGAATGCCGATATCATCTGACTTGAACAACCCACGCAACTTCATTACCAAGATTTCTCGCTACAATAAGGTGGTTAACATCCCAAACAGCATGACCATCCTGGATGAACTTCTGCCCATTTCAATCGAGATGGCGAAGCGTAACTTGAAGGGCATCTGGAACTTCACAAACCCAGGTGTTGTGAGTCACAACGAGATTCTCGAGATGTACAAGAAATACATGGACCCTGAATTCAAGTGGGCTAACTTCACACTGGAAGAACAGGCTAAGGTAATTGTGGCACCCAGAAGCAACAATGAGATGGACAGTTCAAAGCTGAAAAAGGAGTTCCCAGAGTTGCTGGGGATCAAGGAGTCGTTGATCAAGTACGTCTTCGAACCAAACAAGAAAACCTCAGTTTGATGAAGTTTTGATCTTTAGAACTTAGGATTCATATTTTCATTCTGCATTAGCTACATGTTTATTGATTTACTGCATTGGAAGGTGATGATTGTTATATTCAATCCACCTCATGTATTCTGGATTTTCTATTTGTTGATTTATAAGTATTGTTATTTAGGATGCCAGAGAAGTGTTGTCTCTGCATCGTGCAGAAGCAAGCTTCGAATCCTATGAATAAATGGTATCAATTTTTGCCCGTCCATTTCCCCATTCTTCTAATATTCTTCTCAACTTTACTTACGTACGTACGCACGTACATACCACGTCAGTTGGGGAGAAGAACGAAGTTTTATAAGGGCGTGGAAACCTCTCCCTAAAAGAGGCATTTTAAAAACCTTGAAGGATATCCCAAAAAGTAAAGCCCAAAAAGGACAATATCGGTTAGTGGTGGACTGTTACAAACGATATCAAAGGCAGAAACCAAGTGATGTGCCAGCAATGAGGCTTAGTCCCAAAAGAGGTGGACATGAGACAATGTGCTAGTAAATACGCTAGGAGCCGAAGGGGTTGGATTCAGGGGTCTTACATCGATTGGAGGGAGAAACCAAATTGAACCCTGAAGGGGGTAGACATCCTTTTATAAAGGTGTGAAAACCTCTCTCTAGAAAACGCGTTTTAAAAATTTTGAGGGAAAAGTCCAATGAAGATGATATCCGCTAGCTGTGAGCGAGCTTTTGAGCAGAAAATATATATACTAATATTACCCTTCAAAAATAATAATAATTTGATTTTATGAAGTTTTAAGAGATGTTATAATTTTATTCTGACTTTGCAATTCTATATTCACCTTTTATAATATAAGGTTTAAAATATTTGTTAATTCGCTTCGTAATAAAATCATAAACGTTAGAATTTAATAGTTATAATCTTTTAAATTGTAATGTGTGTTTATGATTTTTATAAAAGACAATAGTTTAATAAAATCTTAATAAATAATCTATATCATAAATTTTTATTAATTAAGGTTTTATGAAACCATAAAAATTAATTATAATGCTAATTTCTTCAAAATTTTAGACATGAAATTTTAAATTTAAATTTGAACTTAATTCTGGGAAGTGGAAAGAACCCTAAACCCTAACCCGACCCGAGAGGAGCTCAAAGGCGGACCGGGCTGACCTTTCTATTATCAGAAAGTTCGACGCCGATCTCTGCACCGTCTTCATGTTGTGCGTTCGTCCCGTTTCCCAGCTTTCTCCGTCCAACCCTAATTTTCGCTGCGAGAAAATGGCTATGAGGAGATTGCTACTATTTCTTAAGCCATTTGATGCCAATCCTGTTCTCCATTCTGACGGCTTTTCTCGCGTCACCAGCCCTCAGGTCAGAACTCATTCCATTTTTTCTGTTCGATTTTAATTCAATTATTTCTTTCGACCATGGATTTTTGGGTGGAAGTTCATTTATTGGTGATTTCTGATGCCTGTCTTCTTCCTGGGTTTAATGGGTCTTGTTTTCTTTTGCATGGCTTCTGTATTTGCTTTTGACGTGCATTTGATATGATGTGTGAGAATTTTTTTTAGGTTTAAATCATGTTTTTGTTTTGAATATCTTAAAGTTTAGTTTGTTTGAGTTTCTGCATTTTCAAACATTTGATTTTTAGTCCTTTTTAACTTTAGAACAACTGCGAGTTGGCCTAGTGATCATTTTTGAACGTTTTTTGGTTGGTAATTGTTTCTTATCTAAAAACAAAATATACAATTTTCTTTTTCCTATTATGAAAGATCAAATTATTTGTAGCAAGAAGTTTTAGTAATGGTGGTGCTTGACCAACTTACATGCACTTCGATTCTATATGTGCCAACCAGGTGGGATGGGATTGGATGGCTTTCTCATCCCGTCTCCTCTCCGTGAATGATGAAGCATTATTGTCATCGCTAATGTCTTAACTATTTTTTAGGATGGGTTTAGGTTTTTCTGTGGAATTTGTTTTTCTCCTTAGGAATTTTCTCCTCTAATTGGTTTATATGCCTTTTTTAACATAGAAATTTGGGTAAAGGCAATATATTTTTTATTTTGATTATGATTTTACTGTCATCAGATATATTTTTATATTTTTTTAATACAAATAACTTGATCATACATGTTTATAATGTTCATATAGTTATATGAATTTAAACATTACGAGGCCCATAATATTCCCCATCCCAGATTGAAATAAGGAGTCTCATGGGAAATTTTGATAACTCAACTCTAACAAATCTCGTTGGAAATTCTTTTCTTGACTTGCCCTTCTTCTCTGTTTTTTATTTGTCTAACGATCAAAAAAGAAAATAACTATAATAATTTCATGACACAGCCACTCACAACATTGGCATCAAAAGAGAATGAATAACATTTTCAACCTTTTAGTTAGCTACGATCTCTTTCATCGATAATGATATACCCAAACTTTATGTTCCTTTAGGGACATCCGATAAAATTTGGAATGATACACCAAAATTGTACAATGCTGAAAATTAGTGTATATGACTTCTAACTTCAGGTCTTAAAAGTTTCTGCCTATTGATATGTACGTATGGAGATCTTAGAATGTTCTCTCATTTTAGTCAATATCTATATTTTTATTATTGGCATTGGCCATTCCTAATTTGCTATCGCTATGCAAGGTACTACTATGAACTTCCTCACTGTTTTTCTATTTTTTATGTAGTTAAGTTTCTTGAATCTATACTTCAGCAAGTTCAATGGAGTCTGCGTGATATACTTTTTGTCGGATATTTGTGTCACTGCAGATCTTACGTCACTTAGAGAACAGGCATGCAGTGCATAGGGAGGCCATAAAATTTTGTAAGGATGTTTTGCAGCAGAAGCCTGTGGATTGGGAAGCTGTATTTCGCAATGATCTATCTGAGCCAATTAGCAATGTAGACCTTGTCGTCACGGTTGGTGGTGATGGCACCCTTTTGCAGGCCAGCCATTTATTGGACGAGTCAATTCCTGTTCTTGGAGTAAATTCTGATCCGACACAAGTGGATGAGGTAACTTTGTTATCTAACTAGGTATTCCTTTGAAATCTTTGGAATGGATTGATTATTGATGGATATTTATTTTCAGTTAAATTGCAAATTTAGTTCTTTACTTCGATTAGTTGTGTCTATTTGGTTCTAAATCTGGTAGGATTTCAATTATGTCTTTGAACTTTCAATAATGTGTATATGTAATCCCTATCGTTAACTAAAAATAATGGCGTAGAATACCCTATTGGTTGACTTGGCACAATGAGATAGAAAAATAGCATAATGTCGTGATAGGAACAGTTGGATAAAATAAAATAATAGGTGCTATGCTATCTCTTTTGAAAACAACGTATCAAACTCATTTCATAAAATATGATACACTATTGTATCCTTCTGTCCTCTTTCTTTTTGTCCCTTATTTGTCATATCATATGTAATCACCCATCATTTGTCTAATAGGCACGCTATCATTTAGTTAGCAAATTCAATGACTGTAGAATCATAATTTGATGTTCAAAGGTGACATTGAAATGTTATAAAGGAAGGGACTAAATAGACACAACAATTAAAGTTAGAAACGAAATTTGTGATTTGATCATTATTTTACTTGAAGTATTTACCAGATATTTTCTTGTCTAGGTAGAAGAGTTTGGCAATCAGTTTGATGCTTCTAGAAGCACAGGCCATCTTTGTGCGGCGACTGTTAATAACTTTGAGCAAGTAAGTCTGTTTTACCATTAAAAGAGTGTTTGGCTGTGGATGTCTATTTGCCACGGGGAGTGAGGCAAGAGTTTGGCTATTTCCATTACTTTTTTCTATCTGCCTTCTCTCTCTCTACTCTCAGTATAGACAAAAAAATCTAAATGTTAGCATGTTTCTGCATGAATCATGATATCGAATTATTGACTTGGAAAGGAATACCTAGCTCTAAAGGAATTGTCATTCAAATGATTGAATAGGCCGGTATCTGATTTAGAGTAATATGAGTTTTGAGCCTCATAAACTAACTAAGGCGTTGTTTTTGGATGGGGAAGCATGTTGCAAGAGATTCATCTCGTAGAAATGCTGTATTAGTAAGACCATTTTAAGCCAACTGTAAGCCAGATGAAGGAAACCATCAAATGAGAGTACTGGTGAACATGAGCCGGGAGGGTAAAAATTTCGCAACTTTGGGAAGGATGATAAGAAAATTGAAAAATGTAAAAAAACTATTTTATATAGAAAGAAATGAAGCATGATGGATAGTAAGATATATGAAACTTTTAAGAGAAATAAACTGAGGCAGTAGAGTCGTGGACCATGGTTGGGTTTTCTTCCTCTTCTAATGTTCAACAATGTGGAGTGGAGTGGAGATTTGAAACTCTTGGTCGAAGATATAATGTCTTAACTAATTAAGCTATACTCAAGTTGACATTATGGCCGGGGTTGTAGTCATGTGAAATGAAATGCCATGAGGATTAGGTAAATACAGGAGGGATTTCTGAATAATTTAACTAAGGCAGTAGAATTATGGTTTGGGCTGTAGCCGGACAAAATGCAGCAAGGATTAGGTAAAATATGGGAGGAATTCCTAAACATCCCTGCAGCAACATTGATCAAAAATATTATTAAAGTCTCAATATTATTAAGATGTTGATTGATATTAATAAAAAATATTGACATGTTGATATTAATTCCTTTCTTGAGTTTTATCATAACCTCTGATTGTTTGGAGGCATTCGTATATCACATTATGTTTGCGCTAGTTTAGAGGAACATCTAAATGAAACCGACTTTTCCGACAAGCAAATAGACGTATTACCACAGACTTGATACGATGACTTCATATAGGTATTAGATAGTGTCCTCAGTGGTGTAGCATCCCCTTCCAAGTTGTCAAGGCTATCCATATCTGTAAATTCAGAGTTGCTCACAAAATATCCTCTCAATGACATATTAATTGCTCATCCATGTCCCGCGTCGGTCTCTCGATTCTCGTTCAAGTAAGAATCATCCTCTGGTTCCTCTTTCTTGTATCTTCCTTATGTTTGAGGTTACATTCATTAACCTCTTCCTCTCTGCAGAATTAGGAATGAGCAGCCATGTTCGCCCTTGTTGAACTGTCGATCGAGTGGTCTAAGAATTTCGACTGCTGCTGGATCAACAGCTGCAATGCGATCAGCAGGTGGATTTCCCATGCCCATTCTATCTCGGGACCTTCAGTACATGGTACGAGAGCCCATGACCCCAGGAAAACTGTCCAATTTTATGCATGGGATGGTATTGTCAGATCAGTCGATAGAAATGGCCTGGTTGTGTAATGATGGTGTGATTTACATTGATGGTTCTCATGTTTGTCATCCTATTCAATACGGCGATGTCATTGAAATATCTTCCAAGGCCCCGAGTCTGAAAGTTTTCTTGCCTCATCTTCCAAGGCCCCGAGTCTGAAAGTTTTCTTGCCTCATCATATGTTGTACACAGCCAGAGAAGAAACTTCAGAGCAACATACATATCCAAAATAGATTTTGTAGATAACTGCATATATGCAACCGAGTCGTCGACATGAAATGTTCTGAGCATCTGAACGAGCATGAAGTTAATCTATGTGCGAGACTGATTTGGCTTTGAAGGACTGGGGTCGTAAGGTGCTTTCTTGCTGAGCATTTTGAATCAACATGTAAGATCATTAACAACATGTATCTGATGGACAAATGAAGGCATTTTTCAAGGGGCGGCTTTTGACAATTTTTCTGTACATACAGAATGGAGAATGGAAAATGCTCCTCTCTAGCTAAGAATTGAGCTGTGAGTACCTGGATTATCGTCCAACCTTCTTTGCTTGTGCGCAACTTTTTGAAACTTAATCTTTCACGTTTTGGTGTTTCTTTATCAACTGTTTAGAAGGTTATAAATCATACATTTTCGTGTAGGATTACCCAAAATACTTTATGAACCTTGAGATATATCTTAGTTACACTGCTTTTGAAATAATGCTCTCTACTGTTGTAATAATTTTGTGTATACCTTCTCATTTTTACACTGCTTTTGAAAATTATTTTAGTTTAATTTAACATTTCGCATACTACTCGACCCACAGTTCTAACATATTTTAGCTAATTATAGAGATGAACTATGGTTTGAGAAACGAAAGCAATTGACAAAAATTACCTTCCCTCGGAAGAGCACTGTCTGTATAACGTCCGATTAGTTGATAAAGATTTCTACATTTTTTATTCTTCACGCAAAGAAATTAAACCTCGCGCTAGAAATAAAAAAAGATTGTGCGAGTGGTGGAAGATAAATCGACGTAATATTCGATTGTTCATAAACCGAAAGATACCCAAGAAAAAAAAAAAAAAAATCTGTATCCTATTTTCTTGATTTTCTGTAATCCTCCACCGACTTCAAAACTACCAAAAGAAAGAAAAGAGAACCTTGAAGCAAGCGGAATTGATCTGCCCTTTTGCCCACCAAACGTCAACTCGGCCACTTACATCTCACAATCTATAATGACAGTAATAATGTGATTCAGCTAGTGCGAGAGCATGCAGGAAAAAGTTTAAGCTCAAATTTCATGTAAACAAGAGTTATTTGCCGATATCAGCATAGTCCTTAGTAATTGGTATGAACTCTTTGTAAAGAAGCACCGAAAAGCAAGCGTTATATATACTTACGTGAACATTTGAGGGCGACGTGAGAGCTGAGGTCGTTTGATTGGGGACAGAATCAAGTTGCGCAGAGTCATGGAGGGGTTGCCAGCTCCACTTCCAAACGCATTGTGAGCTCCACCTCTTCTATTCCCAGCTTCCATTGCCATCGGAGCAGCTTGTTTTGCCGGTGACCCAACGGAGATGTCGAAGTGACCAGAGTTCCCGCTATTTTGTCGTGTTGGCCATATTTCCTCTCTTGGTCCTGGGGTTTCAGGAGCGGAAACCAGCAAGTCTGCAAGAAATAAGTCAACTTGTTTTGGAAATACTTGAGCAGTACAGGACGTAATTAAGCTGTGCGTATGTGAGAAATGAGAGCATGGTTTGAATTCCACTCGATAATATATGGTATAAATTGAAAACTCGACACGATGAAAGTATCAATTGTCTGAAGTTTTCATTCTTTAAAATTAGAAAGAGAAAAAGATTACCTTTCCTCATGGGTTCTCTGTTATCCATCAAACTAACGGGGTTTGAGAACAAATCGGGCTCGTTTCTTGGATAAAAATTGCTCACAGGCTGGATGGCCGACCGTTTTAGTGATTCATGCTCATTCCTCAATTGATCATACATCTCATCTAGTTTCCTCTTCTGCCTAACATGCAATTGAATTTTCTGGATCAGGATCTTAAAAACAGAGAATACCCCTCAGGAATCGGTTTAGAAATGAGAAGCAAAAATGAAAGGAGATGACCTGGATTTTTCAGCAAACTTCTCCTGGAGCTCTTGTTTGTCTTTGGATATATTCTCCATCTCTCGTTCCATCATCTGGCATCTCTTGGCCATTTTTTGGTATGCAGTATGCACCTGCTCCAATTTTTCAGTAAACTTTTCTTGCATAACTTCACATTTCTGTCGGCATTGAGCCACGATTCTGTTCATTTTGTACTGCATCTCCAATTCCTTTTGTCCAATATAGAACATTACACTTCTATATGCACTTTTCATCACTGAGACCAATCAAGGAAAACTAAAGACAATCTATCTTCTCAACTGTTAAAAAGAATGGAATAACAGCGTTTTCCAAATTTTGGAGGATAATTTATCACTAATTGTTAGAATTTTGAATCACTGGTGATTACTCGGAAGGATACATATCTGAGGATTTATACCAGCCATGGCCATCTGTAATATTTTTTGTAGTGAATATCAGTATCAAAAGCAGTGAGACAATACAACGAATCAGTCACATACAGGGAAAAGATTGAAAAACGCTATAAGAGTCTTAAAAGACTTGAACAAGATAATTTAAGAGAATACTTACATTTACCCATTCATCATTTGGATTGATGTCCACGGGTTTCATGAGGCTGCCAAATAGAAATCGGAAGTAAGATAAAATAAAATCATATTATCGATGGGGCAGGCTCCAAATAGCATCATAATAATAATAAACCCATCACCTTTTAGAAAGAACTTGATCACAAATGGGGCAGGCTCCATCATTGCTAAGGATCTTGCTTGCATCCTCTGTGCCTTTACACCGTTAAGAAACAATTTATGCAGTTAAACAACTTACATTTACTTAGAGAAATAGGTCAAATATTTCACCAAATTAAACGATAGACAATGAAAATTTTCCACATGCTTAGGATACACAACAAGTGTCCGCAAGTTGTGGAGATAGCTCGCCCTTCAAGTTCTCTCCAGCAAGCATTGCATTTCATTATTAACCTTCAGAAGTAACCTCTAACGCCATGGAATACTAGAGAAATCATAGACCCTGTTATGAAAATCACAGGCAGGAGGGTCGTTATACAACGGTGCTCAGATTTCAAAGACCTTAAAAGCATTTGTGCAGAAAGAAATTCGCGAAGGTTATCTTTGTTGTTCCTAGCAGATCATTGCTATATCATATAGCTTGACAAATGAACCACTGATCATTCGTTAAAATTAAAGCCATATCACGGCATTGATAGACGATAGCACTTCAGATTCTAAACACCAAGTTTAAATAATGAAGGAAATTAGGCAATCAGAAGTTCTAAACCACGTAAAGATGCTAAACTATTTGAGTGACTGTGATGTTAGTTATTTGGTTCCCTTTTCTCAGTTGATTAGAAATTGAAAGGAGAAAAGACGTTCCTAGTCAACTTTTAAAAGAAAAGAAATTCAAAACTTAGCTTAGTTTTCTAAAACATGTTAAAAAAATAGAAAAGAAACAAAGAAACTCATAGATGAAAGTAGTATTTATATGTTTAATTAAAATAAAAAAAAAACTAAAACTAAAAACTAAATGGTGATCAAAGGAGTTTAAGTTAATTCAAGGATCCAAGCTTTCATTGTTTGCTTTTAGTCCATAAATCAAACAAAACAACTTTTTGACTGCTATCAATAGGCTTCAAATTATGCATGAAGTTTATAAATGTGAATACCAGAAGCACTTCTGGATGGTAAAAGAATATCAATGGATGGCTTCCACCCTGTCCAGGAAGACACTTCTACTAAAGATTCTACGTGCTAAAAGGAATCTGGTGGTTTTGGCTTAACACGAATCACTTACCATCGAAATAATGGATATAGAAATAATTCGGTCTTCTCATACCGAAATTCAATGTTGTCCCATATAGTTCAAAAAAAGATCAGCAAAACAGCATTTCTTCTTCAGGTTCTAGAGCCACATAGTTAACAGGGCAAAAATTCATCGGAGTGGAACGAATAGAACCTAACATCGGTAAAGTGGTTGCTAGACAGAAACAGGAACTCGTAATCTAAATCGGATATTATTGTTTTATGATGTACTCAGGAGCAGAAGGATAAGCCGAGCTCTATGCACTGAACATATAAGATACCAGCGAAAGAACTTGACTGCAACAGCTGTACTTGTTCCCTTCACAATTCTATTTTTCTCTGCGTGTATTATATATCTAAAATTCCAGTCCACATAAAAAATTGACAGGACTGGCATATTTTCTAAAAAAAATCTTGTTTTTTGAACATGAAGAGATACAAGAAACCATTTGCAATTGCCGGAAACATTGGGCCCGCTGAAGGCACAAAAATCCTTCAAAGCTTCTATTAGAGGACAAAAAAAACCTACGATTTATTGTACCTCGTGTTCTGAAGTTCAGGAAGAGATATAATTTAAATTATAGTAATAAATGGTGCTATCGAGAAATGAGTATAACAAATAAAATTCAAATTAATCAAACAAAAAAAAGGGGGAAGCTAGCAGGGTTTAATCGATAGTTCCGAACTTTTTGATAAAGAAACGAAGATCTCCAACATCATTCTCTGTTTTCTACCTCGACCTTTTTTACTCAAATGTAAGGAGGAAAGGGTGGAAATCCTAAATATCACAAGGGTGACTGGATCAAAAATAATTTCCAGATTAGGAGCTAATACATTAACAAATAGCAATCAACTTGAAAAGAAAAGAAAACAAACAAAAATATCTTGCTCGCTAGAAAAGAAGATGGAATTCGGAAGCGAGAAATAACATTTTACTCGAAAATACGAAACAAGTCGGAACTTGAAAATACTCTCTGATCACACACGAATTACTTGAAAGAAAATTCCAATGAAATTCAAAATGGTGATAAATTAGGGTACAAAAAATCTTCGAAGTAGAATGAATTATACCTCGAAATTCTCAAACAAAATCCTCACGGCAAAGAATACGGTTCCAATCTTCAGCCTTCCACCGTGCTCAATTAGGAACGCGAACCTGAACAATCTTGAGAACATAAACACTTGAAAACATTGAAGAAAAGAGAAATCGAAAACCTCGAAAGCAGTCGATGAATAAAAGGTCGAATTTGGCGGGAAATGTTCTTGGGAGTTGCTAACTCTGTTACCTTCGCAGTTCGGTGTAGCGAGAAATGAATTTTGAAAATCAAACTTATAACTGGAAGAATATATATATATATATATATTAAATATCTTATTTTAATTTGTATATTTTTTTAATGTTACCATTTTAAACCATATTTTTTAATTTTTAAAATATACAATATACAATTATAATGTTGAAATTAATATTTTTCCACAACTTTTGGACTCCATAATTTAAAAATATATTTAATAAATTTTTAATGCATATTTCTTTTTCTTAAAAAAGGTTACATATAATGAGCTATGAAGTTGTTGACATGTGGGTGTAAAGTTTAGTGCATTCATTTCAAGAATTTAATATTTTCAAATAGTTTCCCGTAAATACACCAAATATCATTTTTAATCATTAATAATTTTTGCACTTAAGGATTCGTCTCGAGGTATTTTCAAAATTTGATTGGTTTTATACCAGAAATGGGACCACAGTCCATATCTGTTAATGATTGATTTATGTGTTTTTTTTTTAATTTATTGTTACATTAAAAATAGTTTATTACTTTATGGAATAGCAATACGTGCTAATTGATTGCTCTTACATTTTTTAATTAATTGTTTGTGGTTAATATTTAAGTTACGAATTAATAAAATAAAAACTTTATTTTTAGAAAAATATGAGAAGATCATGAATTAAGAAGTACGACATGTCGTAGTGGGGGTGGAGAAGTACGACAGGAGGTCAGAGGTGCAACGTGGACGAAAATGGAGGAAGGAATTGATTCCAAAATATCACTCCAATTTACACTCCGAATCACAAATCAAGTCCTCTTCTTAAACCTCTCTCGACTTCATCCACTTGTTCCCCAAGGAACCTGATTCCCTCTTATTCCTTTTTCCATCTTTGCTCAAGACGCTTTTCTTTTTCAAATTCGGAAGAGTGTGTTTCAGAGCTTGAAGAAACTCATTGATTCTCTGAACCCAGGTGAGAAGGGAAGTCTTTTTTGGGGTTTTTCGAGTGGGTTTTAGTGATCATGAGTGGGTTTTAGAGGGTTCGAGAGAAGGTTAGGATGAAGATTCAGTGCAATGTCTGCGAAATGGCTGAAGCCACCGTTCTGTGTTGTGCTGATGAGGCGGCGCTGTGCTGGGCCTGCGATGAGAACATTCATGCCGCCAACAAGCTCGCTAGCAAGCACCAGAGAGTTCCTCTCTCTGGTTCTTCGTCTCAGATGCCCAGATGCGACATCTGCCAGGTATGAGTTATATAAATCAATCACTCTGTTAGTTCCAGTAATCGAGACAAATGAGTCCGGAGATGTGGTAATGAATTGGTTGGTATCAACACTAATATGAGGACTAAAGCTTCTTTGATAAATTTTGATCATGTTACTATGAACTGAGTTCGTAGGCTTAAGTAGTAGGATTACATATCCACCCCACGATGAATGATCAAGGAGTAATTGAATCTGTTGCCAAATCTCATGAGTCTCTTCATATTTTTGTTTCAAAATTCTTCTAGATATTTATTTCCAGATCTTATAGGCTGACGGTAATCCTACTAACAAAGGAAAGAAAAGTTGGTTTCAGCTCGAGATCAAGCTGTGGTTTTAGAGGTTTGAAATGCTAGTAACTTTTCTTTGTGAGATACTACCTCGGTTGGAGAGGGGAATGAAGCATTCCTTTAAGGGTCTTTAAGGGTGTGGAAACCTTTATCTAGTAGACACGTTTTAAAATCATGAGGCTGATACGGATATGTAACGGACCAAAGTGGACAATATCTACTAGCGGTGGACTTATGCTCTTACAAATGGTATAAGAGCCAAACAACCCTGGTGTGTCAGCGATGACGCTAGCCCCTAAGGGGGATGGATTGTGAGATCCCACATCGGTTGGAGAGAGGAACATAGCATTCCTCATAAGGGTGTGGAAATCTTTCTCTAGGAGACGATTTTTAAAACCGTAAGGCTGAGGGAGATACGTAACGGGCCAAAACGGACAATATCTGCTAGCGGTGGACTTGGGCTGTTACAGTAATATTTGAGGCCAGTGACTATTTGGGGGGGAAGTCTAAACCAAGATATGGATTGATGGCATTTGAATTTGTTATATGTTCTTAGGGGAATGTCAGCCAGTAGCTAACTTCATTTCTTTTCTGAAGCCCCTTTATCAGTTGTTATTGTTACCCTTTGTAAGTCGTCCATGATTTCTTGCAGGAAGCTAGTGGCTACATCTTCTGTTTAGAGGATCGAGCATTACTTTGCAGAAAGTGTGATGTTGCAATACACACAGCAAATGCTTACGTAACGGGTCATCAACGCTTTCTGCTCACTGGTGTGAAAGTCGCACTCGAGCCAACCGACCCTGTTCCTTGTTCTTCCATAGCTAATTCACATTCTAGAGAGATATCAACCAAGACGAAAGTTAGACCACCGTCTGATAAGGAATTCTCGATGCCTTCGTCTGGTGAACTCAGCAGAAGCCTGTCTGTTCAAGGTGGATCTGATGACTTCATGACAAATAGAACATTGCTTACTGGAGATTCTGCTTCTGGTGGCTTTTCACAATGGCAAATAGATGAACTCATTAATCTGACTGGATTCAATCAGAATTATGGGTTTATGGATAACGGATCATCCAAGGTATGATTATGGTTTTATAATGCAGTGAATTCTGATCAACTTGTAGCATGCTGGATGAACTCTTTATTATATTTATATGGAATCCCAACCATGTGAATTGTTTGCCATTGCAGAATATTCACCATTCTTAGTGGTTGATAATGGCTTCTGGAATTTAAAAATCCTTCTATTAGGATGTCACTCACATATCAAAACCTCTTTATAAACAACCATCTTATGTAGCTTGGATGCTTTTCTGCATATATACACTATACAACCTTCAAGATTGATAGGGACTGGAGAGAGACAGAACTAATTCTTAGGCACGATACGCTGGTAAACTATCGTTTCCAGAGTGCTGGTTCTTGTGTTGGACTATTCTAAAAAGTAATTTTTTCTTGACCTCTAAGTTGGGACATTGGTAGATTGTTACAGGTCATGGGCGAGTTCTTGCATGTTATGATATTATCCTATCCTCATAGATTAACTGCAAAAAAGTGGACTGATTGGAGGTAATATGCCGTGCAGATTGCACATATTACTGCCAATCCAGATGTAATAACTTTTTGCTTTTCTTTATCTGTGAAATCTATCAGGCTGATAGTGGAAAGCTTGGGGACTCCGACTCATCACCAAGTTTAAGAGCTGCTGATGTTGAACTCGACGATGACGATGAATGCCCGGGTCACATTCCAGAGGCTTCCTGGACTGTGCCTCAGGTTCCCTCCCCTCCCACAGCATCTGGCTTATACTGGCCAAGAAGTTACCATAATTCTATGGATAGTGCTGTTTTTGTTCCTGACATCTGCGCTTCAGAAAGGTCACGCAACGGTATGTTCTCGAAGGAGGCAGTTTTAGATGTCTGAACGCTGGCATCGGGCTTCATTGCTTGTGTTCTGAACGTCTGCTCGGTTTGTTGTGTGTTTATAGGCTTTCTCAACTACATTTGTTTTATATTAAGTGGACACGACCAAAGATTATCGCTTGAAATGTATACCTTGTAACGTAACCACTATAGTTTAGGATTTGTTACAATGATGTAGAAATAAACCTGTGCATTAGTTGACCTAGGTATTTTTTCAGATTTATTTCGAACATCATATGGAAATGATTAGGATTCAAATCATGTTGACCCACTTGATTATTTGTAGTTTTACAAAAATTATGAAGAATCAATGTTATGTCTTGGCCATTATGAGTTCTGTAGCTCATGTTCATTGTTCAATGTTATTAACCTCTTTCCTAGTATATAACCTTCACTTTTTTCCTGATAAGAAGAGTAAAACTCAAAAGATATCCATGGTATCCATGAATGTGTTCTATACACAGAAGGAAGACAACAAGATATATGAATAAGTAATGCCACTATTCCATTCCCTACGAATACGATTATGTCTAAGTGATGTTAGAGGTTAAAACATCTTAAAAAGCCACAAAATTACCCTGAAACTGCACTTCGTTCACTGCTGTCGAATACCAGTGGTCATTCTCGAAGCAAGAATTTAATTGAAGCAATCACTCGTGACAGTTCCAAGGGTAGGATTTGGTCTTCCCCTCCATCAGCTGTAGTTTTCTTATAATTTTTTTTTGCTGTCAGTTGAATGGAAATACAAGAGAACGCCAAGTCGTCAACTCTTGAAGGTGCGTCGTATTATGAATGTCAATGACCAAGTAGGAGCTGCTGCATCAACATAGCTAAAATGCTGCCTATGGATATGTTGATGACATTAACAACATCATTGTTGAGCTGCAAACAGAATCTGAATGAATCAGAACAGTAGTTTTCCAGAACAAGGCAGATTGAAGAAGTAAAACCCGGGAGACATGTTGGTCGACCGAGAAGAGAGGGGAAGGAGCTTCATTACTAATGTAGGAAAAATTAGCCTTTTCGAGTTGGATGGGATAGTGCATTGATGATCAAGGTGGTTTTTCAACTGATATCTGAATGCTTTATATCTACCTACTAATTTTGCAGGTGCTTTAAGATTTAAATTACTTAGCCGCTTTCAGACCTGAACCCATCATTCATGATGACTAAGCCAACAATACACGAGAACAAGCAATAACAGCAGAAGAGTTCAATTCATAAACAAACAACAGACTCAAATGTAAGGCAATCAGTGATAAAAAGAAACTTTAGTACTTACCCACCGAAATCCCTCCTTCCCTTGAAATACAGCACCGATGATGCTTTCACCAAGATTAGCAATCTGTGAAGCTATAGCACATACAATTGCTTCAGGTGCAGTGACCTGCATCATCATCCAAAGAGAAATCTAAATGTGTATCCAAGAAGACGAACAATGTATAATTTTCATAGAGATATAATTGGGGGAAGGACTCGTTAAAACTTCAGAAAGAGCCTGTAATTAGCCAGTAAAGTTCTTAAAATATGGAAAATTCTTAAATACGCAGTTTCAACGAGCTTTCAAGCCATGCTCCAAATGAGCAGGGAACGATTATAAGACACGAGGGAATATTCATAAGAAGTAGAGCTGCAGTATGGTTCAGGGTGCGACAGGAACAACAAAAGAAAATTACGTCACCCAAAAGATAGCCAACGAAGGCAAGAGCAATGGCTGCTAAGAGTCCAGCAAAGGTTCCCTCGAGACTGACAGCCCCTTCTGTTCCCCGAGGAACTACCTTAAATGTCGTCACCAGGTACCTGGTTGTAAATGAAGCATCAGTATAACAAGGAAAGAACTGAAGAAACAAAAACCCCATATAATTATATTTAAAGAGGTCCAAACAGATTAAGGATTCTCATTCCACGTATAAACTATATCGTGTTCATTTGATATATAATGAAGACTAGTTAGAAAATTCTTCAGAAAACTGCAAACTCAAGAAAATTGATAATTAGTAGAAAAGGTAAATGAAGAATACGGACATTTACTGAAAACTTTGGAAAACATCTTAAAAATGGTTCAAGACGAACATGTTTGGAAAACAACCTGGTACATTATTTGTAATAAATAGTATTTTTATTTTTATTTTGCTATATTAGTCTTCAAATGTAGATTGTGCATGATCAAACATGTTTGTTGTTGTGGCAAAAGAACAGTGAACGGCCGATGTTAGTAGTTCAATAAATTACTCGAACAATGTTGATTATGCTTCCATGTAGGACTGCTAGGCGCGGTTGAGGGTAGGTAACCCCACATGAAGTAAAACCCCCACTAGACCAGGTTAATGATCATCAAACTGAGGATCCATCGATGGAACATAGCCTAGCCTACAGTAGCATCCTTGCTTCAAACCCAGGAACTCCGTTTTTTTCCCCCTGAATTAGTTAATTGTCGTGTAATAGTTTGGAAGAATGTCTCTTAAATTGCAACGACATGATTAGGCTTTGTCTGCCTTGCCGACTGTTCCAAGAGTGGATCCTTAATCTGATGACCAACTTGGTCTAGTGTGGTTCTCCTTCATGTGAGGTTTCCCGTCGTCTACCGTACCTAACAGTCCCTTCTCCACGTGGAGGCATAATTTAACATTCATAGGGTTTGACTAAGATATCGAACTACTAGCATCAACCATTCACTTATCTTTTACCACAACAACAAACACGTCTGTTGATGCACATTCTACATTTAAAGACTAATAAAGCAAAAGAAAGATAACATACTATTTGTAATAAATAATGTACCTGGCTGTGACGACGTGTTTGTTGTTTGACCATGGTGACACATATTGCTAACGAAGCAAGTCTACAAAAATCATAACCTTGGGTATGATGCAGTCGAAGTAAAGATGTGGAATTACTCACGTTATCCTACCATATGCCTTCCCTATTTCACTTGAGACAGTGTCACTCAGTTTAGTACAAAAACTGGCAACAAAACCAAGTCGCCATAATTGCGCGAACGTTTGTCCCCCAACTTTATTTATCATGAGGAAAGCACAAACACAACCAGCAGCACTCGATCCTATTACGCTACTGGGTCCTCTTCTCCCTTTCCTCTTTTCAGCTACCCCTTGTGCCTCCTTTTGGGCCATCTTTACCTTTGTTGCAGCAGTTCCCTAAGAAACAAAAATTCAGCATTCAGAAGGAGTTCTTTTTTGGAACAAGTAACAACTATCATTTGATACTGAAAAGGATTAGGATCAAACTCCCAAATGGAGCGAAAAGGAAAAATTATGAACAATAAAGGCAACTATATAGAGAACCACCATGAACAATAACTTTTCATAGACTGAACGAAACACACCCCGATAAAAAAATGATTAATTGAATTTTGCTGCTATTTTGAGAAATGGAAAAATAAGCATGACTGAGCTCTTGTTTGTATTATAGAAGAATCTCTACTGAGCTCTTGTTTGTATTATAGAAGAATCTCTAACTTCTTTTGAAGGTATTCTACTCTACAAAGAACCATTTCATGACGAACTAATTTCAGCTCCCCATCAAGTTGTGTAGTCTAAACTAAAAGTTCATTCATAAAAGCAAACCTCGACTCAGTAAAGGAAGCTTCAATAAGCAACACACAAAGGAATGCACTAGAAGATTATTTTTCAAAAAGAGAAATTTTACTGTTGCTGAAAGAGGGAGTTCTGTAAGTGGCTTCCAGTCACCAAAGCAAATGTAAAGAATAGGGGAGCAAAGATACTAATACTTGTATTAGAATAAAGACTATATCAAACACAGAGCAACAAGATTTTGAAAATTGCCAAAACAATCTCAATCTCTCAAGTGCAGGTAAATCATGATTTGGAGAATCCCTTTGAGAAAGGTGAAAATTTTGAAGTCTTGACAAACTTTGGAATGTTCAGAAAAGGGTCCTGACGAGTAATAGCTTCAAGGGAATGAACCATAGAAACTTGAATTTGTATAACCAGTATTTGGACCAAGCAAGATTGCCAGTACGCTGAAGTTTGCAGGTGAATTTTAAGCTTTCAGAGGATTGGTTGAAAGATTGTTGAGTGGTTTTCCTTCAAAAGAATTTTAATAAGAGAGATAGTAGCACTTTATAGTACAGTGACAATCAAGATGGTCATAGACTTGACAATGAAACTCGTGAGCTCTGCATAAGTAATGAGGGTCCAAATACTAGTATTCTAACATTACATGTATTCCATTACAATCATTTTGAAGCAATTGTGAAGGAGAAAGCACCCAACCCAATTCCCTGAGTTTTTAACCATTTTTTTCTATTTGATCATCTAAATGACGGGTTTCCACACTAGAACTAATCAATCAATACAGAAATCAGTGAAAAAAGAAAAACAGAGAAATTGATCCAACGAACGAAAAACAACACGGCGTTGAACAAAACAACCAATCCAATCCAGGAACATGCTAAAGAGATCAAATCCCACACATCAAACAAAGCCCAAATTGAAATTCAGCAAGAGGGAACAAAGACGAACAATGATGAAATAGGTAGCAACAAGAAGGAAACCAGAGGGCCCAAAAGCACGCCACGTGAGTGTACCAAGCAAGAAAGCAGAAGCAATGCCAGAAACAGACAACCCCGTGACCAGAATCGGCAAACCCACGACGAAAATCAGCAGGTTGCTGAGTAATGCCGACTGCCACGTGGCTGGGCTCGATTGAACAAGATTGACAGCGGCGGAAGCAATACTCTGAAAATTCTCAGCTGGGACAACCATCTTAACGGATCGGTTAGGGCTCGAATTGGGAATTAGGGTTTATGAGAGAAGACGTAAAAGGGGAAATCGATGAGTTTGGGAGAAGGATGAAGGGGAAGAGGAAAAGTTGCAGTCATCAATGCCTTGTCGTTTAATATACTGAACAATCTAAACGATGGAATCTGGTCGATGTGTCGGCTCAGCAAGAAGAAGTTATCTTATTATTATTATTATTACTACTTTTAGGATGGTATGTGTAGGAGGATGAATCTGCTCGTTAAGGAAATGAGCATCCGTTTATAAACAAAGAATACTCTCTCTGTTGTGTAGAGTGGTTTCTTGTAACTGCAAAACAAAGATATAAAAATAAGCGCATTTCAAATAAATAAATTATTACATACCTAAATTGTAAATTTTTAATAAGAAATCAAGAAAAAGTAACATCTTAAATAACCAGGGAGATTTAAAATGAATAATTTAAATAAAGTTTTTAAATAATGAGATTGTAAAATAAGAGATTCCAAGTATCAGGAACGCCCGCGAGGCACCAATGGCTACAATCCAATCCAGTTCTGCCAACTAAGCCATACTTAGAAGGGTGCCCATCTTTTCTCAGCAGTGATAACTCTGTTACGTCTAGAAGGTGAATAGGGTTTATGATTTTGCTTAGCACAGCCTTCAGCACCGCCACCGCCGGCGGTGAACCGCCCGGGTACACCGAGCCTGCCACCGGTTCGTTTTGACCTACGCAGCTCTTTGCTCTTGGCTCTCCCCATAGACTTCCACTGATATATATCATCATACACAATCTTAATCTTTTTTAAAAATTTCATAAGTATTTTTTAAATATAATACTCGTATTGAAACTTACTTGTAATGGGATGGAGAAATTCCTTGGAAAAAGACATTATTTGTTTGAGGATCAATGTTGAGATCAACCCATCTTCCCCAAGTTGTGAGAGCCTTCTCAAAAGCTACCATTCTATCCATATCTCTCAACATCTCTTTCCCTATTTCAATATAATCCCAACTAAAAAAACGTAACATTAGTTTAAACTTCACGGCTTAAGAATTAAGGAGAGAAAGTAATTAGAACGTACGGTTGAGAAGATCCTCTGCGGTTCCACCAGTGCCAAGTATTAAAAATGAGAAAGTCGACGCTTTGCCACAACTTACTCGATCCTTCATTAATGATATCTAATTTCAACACTCTTCCAATCTCTTCTCTTACAATGTCTACTAGATATACATTTTTCTCGAGCATCACTTTCACTTCGTACTCCTAAATCAAACCGTTGATCTCCAAATGTAATCATTTCTCTTAAAAAAGATCAAAATGTTAAAAAATGCATAAGTTATGAGAAAATATACCGTAAAAGTGAATGTGGAAACATCTCCGACCCTTGTCAAAGTATAATGTGCATTTGGAACAGCGGAGTGAAGCATGCATGTCAAAGATTGCCATTGATTCCGACTAAGTGAGTCTCCCACAAATAGTATACTTTTGCCCCTAAGTTTTTCTAAGAAAAGTTTTCCATCAAACCTAAAATAGGGAGAATGCAATTAGAATTTAGGAGGGATATAAAAGGAATAATGAAAAATGATAGGGGTAAAAACGGAATACGAAACAAACATTTTTCCGATCTCACCCACCGGTAGATCGCGAGAAAGTGAAAACATATCCCACGTGAAAGGAATCTTTCTTATCATTTCATTTCTTAATTTAATTTTTAAAAAAACCGCCGAATTTAGTTTTAAAAAGTTTACTTTTAATTTACTATTCAAAACACACTCTATTTTATTTTTAATTTAATCCAACTAAAATTACCAATATATATATATATATATAATTTTGTGTTTAAAAAATTTTAAACTTTAAAAATAACTAATAAATTTCTAAATTTTTTATTTTGCGTGAATAAATATAGGTTTAAAATGAAAAAAAAAAAGTAAAAATGGGTTGATATTTATATCTATGAAGACTTTTAATTTTGTGTTAAATAAATATTAAATTTAAAAAAATCATAAATCAAATAGATGATTAGGAATTGAGGATTTAATTTAACAATTTATTATTATTATTATTATTATTAGGTGAAAGAAGCATTATTGTAATAGAAATAAAATAGGGAAATATAAAATTACCGGGGAGTACAGGGTACCTGGATAAATCGCAATTGAGAGGCTGCCATCTGTACTTGGTGTAACCTAAATCGGGGCGGCCATTTTTGACGCAGCTGAACTCGTGCTGCACGAAAGGACAACTCGCCGCCGTGTACAGCGGGTAAGTCTCGTCAACAACCCAACTTCCGACGAATAAATTGCACTCCTCCGCCGTACTCGCCGCCGTCGAACCTCCAGAAACCAAAAAAAGAAGAAGAAGAAGAATTCCTTGCTCCAAGATCCTACTCCTTAAAGCCATTTCGTTTCCCCTCTCTCTCTTAGTTTTGAGAGATCAATGGAGCTAAGCACTGACACTGATGCAATGAGGAAAGCAAGAGAGAGAGGCCAAAATGAATGGGCCAATGGGAGAGAAAAAGGGAGAGCTGAGAGAAAGAAGGGTAGTTTAGTCATTTAAACTCCGGCGGTGGGTAATTATGTCAATTCGAAAGGCTAAACTATTTTTTCATACTATTAAAATATCATTTACATTATTCCAATTCACCCCTCCAAAATTATTTTAAAAAAAAAACAAATTTTAAAGTAATTCAAAATTATTTTTTTTTAAAGAAACTATAGATGCCTCAACCATTAAAACATTAATAATTAATTTTGTATTCATTACTGTACATTTGGGCCTGGGCCATTTTACAAATATTTTCAATATTTAAGTATTTATATGTCGGATAAAATGTTCTTAAAAACAAATATTTAAATCATTTTTTTGGGTTGGGAAAACATAAACAAATAAAAAGGAAAGAAACACGTGATTGTACGGTAAATTAATTAATTAAAATAACAATTAACTTTGTCAATATAATAATAACATAACATATTTTTGAATAGTATTAAAAAATTATTTTCCTCATCTCATTATTTTATTATTTTTTTTCACCGATACATAATCAGATAATAAAATAATAAAATTAGTCGAATTTTATATTTAATTTCTCTTATCTCCCCTAGTTATTAGTAAACGATTTTGGTAAAAAAAAATGGAGGATCACCTTTTTTTTTTTTCTTTTTTTTCTCTTCCAAACTCCACCATTTTTAATTCGCTGAAAAAAAAAAGACCGAAATAAAATAAGACATAGATATAAAAATATTTAGGGATGATTTTAACGATATTATATATAAATTATTGATGAACTATATTCAAAATAAATTTTTTACGGCCATATTTAGTTTATTAAGTTTTATTTTACCCTCTTCCCTCCCAATTCCATTAACAAGATAGGACTTGACTAAATAATTTTAGGTATTTATTTTACTTACATGATAATTTAAAATATTAAGCTTATATAATAATGATTTAATTTTATGAAATTTATTAAATCAAAATTAATTTTGACTGTTTAATGCGTGTGAAATGAGTCAAAATTTATATTTTCAATCCCTCCCCAACCTACTCATAAATGGTAAAAATTAATATATTAGATTTTAGACCATTTAAAATAAAAAAGACATTTTTTTTTTACTTTTTCTCTTCTAATTTTCTTCTCACCAATTTTTTAAAATACTATCGTTAATTAAAAATATCAAATATACTTATTTTAAAAAGATGAAAAATATATATGTTTGTAATAATATGTATTAGAAGCTATTAGATTAAATATGGGATTCTGACGCGTAAATGTTTAAATTTAAAAAAAAAAAACTAATGATATTAAATTAGGAAGTATTAAATATATGTTGTCGTGTTATGTGGTGTGATAAAATGTATAAAAAAATATAGCCAAGCGCGATCTGCCATACATTCAATTTCATTTGGCCTCTCTTGCGGACCCTACCCCTACATCACTACTTTTTCTCTTCTTCTTCTTCTTTTCTTCTTCTTCTGAATCCTTCGAAATTTGCAGAGGTACTTCATTTCCTTTCCTTTTCTTAGTCGAATTTCTGTTCCAATCATTCTTTCCAACTACTTTTCCTTCACCTCGAATCGATTCGTTTGTTCGCCTTTCGCCGTCGATTGAAAGAAACTCTCACTCACTCCTCTTCTTATTCTTCTTCTATCACCGGCAACACTTCCTCCGTCTCTCAACGCCGCCATGGTTTTTCCAACTTCTATATTCACGATTCTCGGTGTTCTTCTTCTGTGGATTTTGATATTCCAGGGATTTGGATCCCACGCTCAGTTTTTGCCCGAAGCCGAAGGTACGGTCCTCCGCTCATCCTTTTACAATTTTTTCCGCAATTTCTCATTTCACTCTCTCACTCTCTCGATTTTTGCTTCTGTTTATATCTGGATTTCTCTTTTGCTCTCGAATTTTATGCGGTTTAGGAGAGGCTGGAGCCTCTGAACTCTAGAAAAAGTGAAAAACAGTAGAAATTAAGTGTCTAATTCCTATTGTTCTGTGCGATTTTGGAGAAAATAGAGTGTTAATTAGATTCGGCTTGCTCCTTTTCTTTCCGTGATTTTACTCTCCGGAATCCGAGAGAGAAAATTTCATACATCCATTACTGATTAGTTTATTACATTCCTTTCTTGTTAATCCATTTCGTTTTGCCCTAATTTTCTGAGTGCTACCAGAGACTTGCTTTAACTACTGAAGTCAGTTTTTTCTCGATGATTTTCTACGCATTGTGTCCACGTGCTGTGCTATTTTCCCGAATTTTTCTCAGCAACCAATCAGTAGCATTGTTATAATTTATAAATTCTTTTTCTTTTGCGTAAACTATCATTTTAAATTTTTTGTTTCGTTCTATTTTAACTTTTACTTTTATATAAAATTTAAAATTAGTCTTAATTATTTTCATACAAGACACGTATAAGTATTTTTAAAGTCAGATTGATGGGTGCTAAGAATAAATTAGTAAAGTAAAATAAAAGTTAGATAAAGTGAATTTTAACCTTTGATTTCATTATTCCTAATCGTGGATTAGTTAGGTCAGATTGCAAAAACAAATTATTATTATTATTATTATTTTATATTTCGAGAAGTTAAAAAGTCAAATTATTCTTTTCAGAACGAATATAAAATATCTGGGATTTTCGGTAATATCAATATTCATAGTTATTCCCTAAATTTAGAAAATTACTCGGTCTTATTTTTTTCTTTAAATTGTAGGTAATAGGTTTAAAAAGATAAAATAAAATATCAAAATAATTTTTTTTTTTTTAATAAAAAGGCTTGAGAAGTTAACTAAAAATGAGTTCAAATTTAATCAGCTTTTGTTGTTTTTTTTTTTACTCAAAGAAGAATGAGAACAATTTGAAGGGAAAAAAAGTAATAACACTTTTTTTTTCCTTAGAAATTGAAAAATATTAATGGAAGAAAAGTCACAACAAATAAAGTATTTTAAATAGTAAATATTAACGACAAGAATAAGTACAATAATTGTCGTGATTTCGTAATTTTTAAAGTTTTTTTTTTCCCTTCCTTTATTAATAATTTTATTAATCGGAGGGTTGACTTTTGTTAATTGATGGGTTGACTTTTTCTAATTAGTATATATAAGTTTCATGTTTTAAATAATACCTAGTGTGTCTAATTACAATATTTTAACAATATTAAAACTTTTTATTACAAATTTCATTAGTTTTCAACCTAATTGATAGTTATTAGTTTTGAATTTATTTGAAATAAAATTGAGATTAAAAAAAATAAAATGAAAGTTACAACCTTTTACCAAGTGATAACTGAATTTATTAACTTTGAACACATAATTTTTTTATTCCATTTTAATTTCTCTATTTTAAAATTTTAAAATTTAGTCATATAATTTATATATTTATTTAAAGTATAATTTTCATATTTAAGAAAAAAGAAAAAAGAAAAAAGGGAGGGGAGTCTGAGGACCCACATTTAAAGCTAAACAGGGACTAGGTGGGCCCCTATCCTGTCGCCGATCCCAAACTCATCCAACCCTTTCACGCCAGATCTGACATTTCACACCATAAGAAAGAGACGTTTTTATTTTTTTTATTTTTTTTTTATAAATATTTTAAAAGCAAGATAATATTTTTAAACAACAGTTTTTATATCCTTTTATAATTTTTATAGATAAGTTAGAATATATTTTTCTCCCTTTCAAAAAAAAAAAAAAAAAAAGGAAAGAAAAGAAAAGAAAAAGACTGTCTAAAAGATAATCAATGATTTGAATGTCAAGTCTGTTGTCTCAATAATATCATTTTGTTGTGTAAAAGACTTATAAATTCCACGTTCTTATCAATTGATTATTCAAGTCCACACTTTGTAGTTGAGTGTAGTGTAGTCCTAGGTAATGTGGTACACTTGATTAGTTTTTTTTATTTTTTATTTTAGAACTTTAATTATAATTTTATTTTTTGTTTTGTTTTGTTCTTTAGACACTGTAGCATCCTAAGTTTTGTGTAGGAACATGTTCTTTACTAAAGACATGTGACAATGTCACGTTCGGCCACTTGTTTTGTAATTACTCTCAAATTCAGCTACTTTTAAATGAGCATTAAATTATTCAGCTCCCAGATTGGTAATAATAATCGGACAGCTAAGCAAGCTCAAGATTTGTTCTCCCCACTTGGTTTTGGTGTAGCGGTATTAACTCCTCTCCAATTTGAACACCGCTAACTTTTTGCAGTGTTAATAGACCGTCCCATTCTTCTGACCAACTTCTCTGACCACCCCATTTCTTCATATCTGCATTTACTGTATGTTTATTGAATACACTTGCTTTGACTTTCTCCCATACATCTGGTTAATTACTTAAATTCATATCTAATAGAGGATTGAATCCTGATCATTTCTGTCTTTTTTTCTTCTATAAAGTATCTATATTTGAAATGAAATCTAAACAGAATCTAAAACTAGTTAGAAAAGAAAAAGGAAGTGGGAGAATCCACCGAGCCAGTCTCTTTCCCATTCCATGGACTTAAACTAGACTTAAACTAGAGAGGGATTCTGGGAGATCCCACGTTACATGGAGAAGAGTGTGAAAATCTCTCTCGAAGATGCGTATAAATCTCTCTCGAAGACGCGTATTAAAATTTTGAGGGAAAGCTCGAAAGGAAAAACTCAAAAAGGACAATATCTACTAGCAGTAGGATTTAGTAGTTAGAATTAGCGTCTATAGTTTGAATTGTAACTTGCACATAATTCTTTGGTTCTGAACTAAGATAATTAAATCACTTCCTGAAATTGTGTCTTGATTCGTTGTGCCAATTCGTTTGTGTTGAACAGTGAAAGCCCTTCAAACAATATCTTCGAAACTTAAGAATTTAAGCTGGAATGTTACCCGGACTTCTTGCATTCAAGGTGAAGGCTTTTCCAATGGAGCTTTCCCGGGAAACCAAATCATGAGGAATGTCTCATGCAATTGTACTTCCACTGTTTGTCATGTGACAATCATGTAAGAAACTTATTTCCTTTCCCCACTGATGTGCTTCTAATCTACCAATTGGAAACAGCCATAATACTAGTTTCTTCCCCTTACTCTTTTTCTTTACATGTTTTCTTCTATTGATATCTTATTTATTGTTATTTCACAGCCTGCTTAAGGGTCTCAATCTAACAGGAACTTTTCCAGATGAATTTGGTAATCTTACGCATCTGCAGGAACTGTAAGTGCTGGAAACTGTCTTTCTTTATTGTGTTAGATTCAAACATTCGAGTCTCCCATTGATGTTTGGAAGTCTGGTATCTCTTAAACGTTTGATTTCCAGTTAAAATATAGAATTCTAAGCGAAGTTCCTCTGATTAAACAGTGATCTTACTCGCAACCATATTAATGGCCAACTACCCACTAGTCTTGCCAATGCTCCTCTTGTCAAACTGTAAGCCATATATTGGACTGGATTTCTTAGGCATTTTCTTAGCTGATAATCATAAAATAATTTACTAGTTTGTTGTGTGTTTATCGTTTCCATGCAGTTCTCTCTTGGGAAACAGGCTAAACGGTTCAATTCCCAAGGAAATTGGTGACATTGGCACCCTTGAAGAGCTGTAAGTGATGAAAAGAAAAAACATAGTGTGTAAGTAACTAAGATTTTAGGGTGTTTGATGGCATTTCGGTTGCAGGGTCTTGGAAGACAACCTGTTAACTGGAAATCTACCTCCCAACCTTGGAAATCTGAACCGTTTGAATAGACTGTGAGTCGCATGTCCTTTACCTCTCTTTTTCTGTTGGGTGGAAATTGCCATATTCGGACAATGTAAGGAACTGTTTCTTACCACTGTAGGCTTCTGTCCGCAAACAATTTCACAGGAAGAATACCAGACTCATTCGGAAAACTAAAGAACTTGGTTGATTTGTAAGTTACCAAGAGACAAAAATTTAGTCTTCCACTGTTTTATAAGACTCCATAATTTCTAAGTTCTAATTAATGTCTGCAGTAGGATAGATGGGAATGGAGTGTCTGGGAAGATTCCTGAACTCATCGGGAATTGGATCAACCTTGACAGACTGTGAGTTTCACATCTACTTTGCAATATTTTCTCATTTATTTGCACTAGTGCTAATATTACAGATTATCAAGGCATTTCTGAAAAGTTTCTTTTCCAGGGATATTCAAGGAACATCAATGGAAACCCCCATTCCTTCTACAATATCTCAATTGAAGAACCTAACTCAATTGTGAGAATCTCTCAGATTTCGAATTACTGCATAGAATACTCCCGTTGTGTTGGATTGCTTTTTATCACCCCCTCCCCCTTTTTTCTTATTTTATGTGTGCGACTTGTTTAACAGGAGGATATCTGATTTGAAGGGATCATTTATAAGTTTCCCCAATTTGACAGATCTGATAAATATGGAAGAATTGTAAGTTGAAAGTATCTTAGTTTGTTGTCTATCTTAGAAAAATTCAATTTATAATTACATTTTAATGAAGGGTTTTCCTTTTCATGCAGGGTCCTGAGGAACTGTTTAATTAATGGTTCAATCCCTCAGTATATTGGAGAAATGAATAAATTATCAACTCTGTAAGTGCTTAGTGTCTGATTCTTGTGTACAAATGCTGACAAGTACATTGCGCCTTTCCAAATTCATCATAAATTTTCAATTTTACACCTATTAGTCAGCCAATGGCCCAAGTTTAACCTTAAAATTGTCATTAATTGAATCATAAACTTGAATAATTGGTAACGTATATCTCATTGGTACTAATTAGTTGCTTGTGGATCATGAACAGGCTAATAAGTAGTTTTTTCGTTTTTTTTTTTTTTTTTTTTTTTTTTT